CCCTAACCCTAACCCTAACCCTAACCCTAACCCTAACCCTAACCCTAACCCTAACCCTAACCCTAACCCTAACCCTAACCCTAACCCTAACCCTAACCCTAACCCTAACCCTAACCCTAACCCTAACCCTAACCCTAACCCTAACCCTAACCCTAACCCTAACCCTAACCCTAACCCTAACCCTAACCCTAACCCTAACCCTAACCCTAACCCTAACCCTAACCCTAACCCTAACCCTAACCCTAACCCTAACCCTAACCCTAACCCTAACCCTAACCCTAACCCTAACCCTAACCCTAACCCTAACCCTAACCCTAACCCTAACCCTAACCCTAACCCTAACCCTAACCCTAACCCTAACCCTAACCCTAACCCTAACCCTAACCCTAACCCTAACCCTAACCCTAACCCTAACCCTAACCCTAACCCTAACCCTAACCCTAACCCTAACCCTAACCCTAACCCTAACCCTAACCCTAACCCTAACCCTAACCCTAACCCTAACCCTAACCCTAACCCTAACCCTAACCCTAACCCTAACCCTAACCCTAACCCTAACCCTAACCCTAACCCTAACCCTAACCCTAACCCTAACCCTAACCCTAACCCTAACCCTAACCCTAACCCTAACCCTAACCCTAACCCTAACCCTAACCCTAACCCTAACCCTAACCCTAACCCTAACCCTAACCCTAACCCTAACCCTAACCCTAACCCTAACCCTAACCCTAACCCTAACCCTAACCCTAACCCTAACCCTAACCCTAACCCTAACCCTAACCCTAACCCTAACCCTAACCCTAACCCTAACCCTAACCCTAACCCTAACCCTAACCCTAACCCTAACCCTAACCCTAACCCTAACCCTAACCCTAACCCTAACCCTAACCCTAACCCTAACCCTAACCCTAACCCTAACCCTAACCCTAACCCTAACCCTAACCCTAACCCTAACCCTAACCCTAACCCTAACCCTAACCCTAACCCTAACCCTAACCCTAACCCTAACCCTAACCCTAACCCTAACCCTAACCCTAACCCTAACCCTAACCCTAACCCTAACCCTAACCCTAACCCTAACCCTAACCCTAACCCTAACCCTAACCCTAACCCTAACCCTAACCCTAACCCTAACCCTAACCCTAACCCTAACCCTAACCCTAACCCTAACCCTAAACCCTAAACCCTAACCCTAACCCTAACCCTAACCCTAACCCTAACCCTAACCCTAACCCTAACCCTAACCCTAAACCTAACCCTAACCCTAACCCTAAACCTAACCCTAACCCTAACCCTAACCCTAACCCACTAATTAGAAACCTGCACTCACCTTGTTGGAGGTACTCAAGATGTGCAGCAGGATGACCTTCGCATTCTTGTGAGGTAATGTCGTGCACGGGAAGAGCAGTGGATAAGCAAGAATAGCAGTGTGATATATACCATTTTAAATGATATATATCACATTAAATTAAAAGCTAGAGGATAGTTATGGTAAGGGTTTTCAATGCAAGAGTATGATTATCACATTAATATGAAAGACCATAGAGCAACTATAATATCAGTTCTGATACTATAGTATGAATATAGTATTGTTAAAAGACAGGACAGCTACTAAATTTGTTGTAGATGCACTAGTGTGAATATTATGTTAATACCAAAGGCAATTGGACAACTGTTACATCAGTTTTAGATGCTACAGTACACAGTACACAGGGAAGATATTGTATTAGTTTTAGATGCAATAATATGGATATTATAGTAATACTGAAATTTCAGGGTACCTATTCTTCAAGTTTTGATGTAGGACATATTTTACATTAATACTAAAGGAATAGGGCAGCTATTACATCAGTTTTAGAAGCCAGATTATGGATATAGTAGTAAAGGCAATGGGATGGCTCTCATAGTAGTTTAAGATGCTATAGTATACATATTATGTTAGTATTAAAGGCCAAAAGTCAACATTTTTTTAAACTTTTGATGCTGTAGCATGGATAGCATATTAATATTAATGGCCATAGTGCAACTAATATATCAGATGTCAGATGCTACATTGTGGATATTAGTAATAAAGGACTCAGAGAAGGTATTACATTTGTTTCAGAGACTGAAATATAAATATATACACTTAATGTATAATATTTGATTCTATAATATGGGATACCATATTGGTGTTAAAGTACACAGGACAGCAAGTAGTTTTAGGTGCTACAGTTTGCACATTGTGTTAATCTTAAATTCTTCAGAGCAGCAATTATATTAATTTTAGATACTATAGTATGGAAATCATATTAGTTATAAAGGCCACAGAGCAGCTATTATTTATATCAGTTTTAGATACTACAGTATGGATTCTGTGTTTGTATTAAAAGAACAAAGGACAGCTATTATTTTAGTTTCATAAGCCAAGTATGGATGTTATATCAATATTAAAGGCCATGGAGCAGCTATTATCAATTTTAGATGCTAGTATACTCACATCATATTATTATTAAAGGCTGAAGGGTAGCCATTATTTTATTGGGTATAGCATGAATATTGTATTAGTATTCAAGGCACAAGGCAGTGGTTATGTTGGTTTTAGATGATATGATGTGAATATCATGTTAGTATTGGAAAACACAGAGCAGCTATTACATTAGCTTTAAATGATATAGTGTGAATATCATATTAATACTAAAGGCACAGGGTAGTCATTATATCAGTTTCAGATATTCTGATATGTACATTATATTAGTATTAAAGGCCATAGGGAAACTATTATGTCTGTTTCCAATGCTATATTTTGGATTTTATTTTAGTATTAGAGGTCATAAATATTAGTATATACACACCCACCCAGTCACATTTAATACCAATAGAATAGCTGAACTGTGGCCTTTAATATTAATATAACATACATAATGTAATCTTTAATACAAATGGAAATACAGTATTAGTATTAAAGGTATATTAGTTCTAGATGTTCTGTTATGGATATACTATTAATATGAAATGCCAAAGGGCAACAATTATGTAAGCTTCAAATGCTTTAGTTTGGATATCATCTTAGTTAAAGACCACAAAGCAGCCATGATATTAGTTTTATATGCTATAGTACAGATTGTATATTAATATTGAAGATCACAGGGCAGCTAGTATATTTGTTTTTGAGTTCATAATATGGATATTATATTAATATTCAAGGCTACCTATTATATTAGTACTAGAAGCCACAGGATACTTCTTTTATAAATATTAATGGCCACAACAAGCTACTAGTTTAAGGAGTTATAGAATGGAGTTTGAGTTAATAATAAAAGCCACTTTGCAGCTATTACATTACAGTTATACACTATTTTATGGATATTATATTAGTAGTAATTAGATATTATTATATATTATATTAGTAATAAAGGCAACAAGGCAATTATTATATCAGATTTAGATGATAAAGGATGAGTATTATATTAGTAATAAAGGAGGCAGTGCAGCTATTCATTTCACATACTATAATATGAATATCTTATTATTAAAAGCTTCATGGCATACATTATCTTAGGTTTTGATACAATAATATGCATATCATATTAGAATTAAAAAACACAGGCAGTTACTATATTCAATTTTGATGCTATAATATGAATATCATATCAGTATTTAAGCCCACAGGACACCTATAATATTAATTTTAGGTTCTATTGTATGGATATCTTATTAGTATTAAAGATCACAAGGCAGATATTGTATTAGATTTAGATTCTATAATATGAATATTATATTAGTACTAAAATCCACAGGGAACCTATTAAATTAGTTTTAGATGCCATAGTAAGGATAAAATATTAACACTAAATCCACAGGCAGGTAATATATCAATTTTCAAAGCTATCATATGGATAAAGTTAGTACTAAAGGTCACAGGACAGCTGTTGTATCAGTTTTACATGCCATTATATGGCTATCATGTTTGTGTTAAAGATCCACAGTGCAGCTATTTTGTCAGTATTATCTAATAATATGAATAAGATAGTATTGAAGGCCACATGGCAGCTATTCTATTTGTTTTAGATGCTGTAGTACTATATTACATTATTATTAAAGACTCCAGGGAAGCTATTTTATTATACTTAGATGGTAGAGTATGGATATCATGTTAGTATACTATAAAAGGCTGCAAGAAAACTATTATGCCACTTTTAACAGCTATAGTATGGATGTTTTATTAGTATTAAAGGCCATAGAAGAGCTATTCAGTTTTAGATACTATACCAAGGATGTTATATTAATATAATAATTAATAATAATATAATGATAATATAATGATTATATTAATATAATACACAGGGAATTTACAATATTAGTTTTATGGGTTATATTATTATTAAAAGTTATGGATGTTATATTATTATTAAAGTCACAGGGTAGTTGGTCTGGGGTTGTGGCTCATTTGTAGAGTGCCTGCCTAGCACATGTGAGGCACTGAGTTCAATCCTCAGCACCACATTAAAAAACATAAATAAAGTAAAGGAATTGTGTCCATCAACAACTAAAACAATATTTTAAAAAAATTCACAGGGTAGCTATTATATAGTTTTTTATGTCACAGTATGAATATTATATTAATATTTAAGGCCATAGGCAAGCTAATATATTGCTTTAGGTGGTATATGTGAATATCATATTAGTATTAAAGGTCACAGGCAAATATTTTATTAGTTTTAGATGCTAGTTTATCAATATCATATTAATATTAAGGGTCCTTGGCAAATGTTATAATTTGGATATCATATTAGTTCTAAAAGCCACAGGGCAGCTATTATATTAGTTTTAGATGCTATAATATGGATATTGTATTAAAATGAAAGACCACAGGAAAGGTATGTGATTAGTTTTAGGTCCATAGTATGGATATAATATTAACACTAAATTACACATTTCAGCTACTATGTCAGTTTTTGATGCCTTAATATGGATACCATATTAGTTATACAGTCCACAAAAGAGCTATTATATTCATTATAATTTCATAGTATGGTATGTTTGTATTAAAAGGTCACAGGCAGCTCTTCAGTTTTAAAACTAATATTATGTCCACATTATAGCATGTAAAACTGATATAACAGCTTCCCTTTGGCCTTAATTGTAAGGGTTCTGTGTTTGGGACTGGGGTCTCTGATGGCTTCATGAATGTGGCATACTTGGTGGCTAGGAAGTTTCTGTGCAAAGATGTGGAATGCCTGGATGCTAGGAAAACTTCTGTGCAAAGACACGGGATGCCTACCTGCTATAGCAATGTCCTGCATTAGAAGGCTTTGTGCTGGAGTCTTATCAGCTTTGGCCTTGATCTCAGGCACACAGCTCCTGGGAATAAAGAAACACTCTTGTTATACAATAAAAATGTTTCACCAAGCTCCCATGCTCCTGGACCTGTCCATCTAACAGTAACTGTAAACAACAAACTTTATTGATAGCTACACAAAGCTTCTAACATTGCATATTGTAACTGTAGAATGTAACTGAGGAATAAGCTGCATAACGATGCTAACTCTATAACCTTCCAAATAACACAATAAACAATAGTATATTACTGATGCCAATGACCTAATGCAACCTATTGATATAAATAAAGCTGGCAGCTTGACCATTCTGCCATTCTGACTCTGCATCTTCTCTCTATGTCTCTTTTTATTTTCCTTACATTTAATATTAATATCCATACAGTGATCTATAAAAGTAATATAATAGCTACCCTGTGACCACATTATTGATACTACATTAATATCAGAGGCCACAGAGAAGCTATAATATTAGTTTTACTTGCATTATTATGGATATCATAGTAGTATTAAAGGCCATTGCAGGTATTATCTAAGTTTTGGATGCTATAGTATTTATATCATAATATGATTAAATGCCACAGGGTAACTATTAATTTTAGATGCTATATTACTGATATAAGAGGCCAAAGGGCCACTATTATATTATTTCTAGATAGTACAGTATTGTTTTTGTAAGCTTTTTTGCCATTGTGTCAAAAATTCCTGACAAGAACAATTTTTAGAGAATTAAAATTTTATTTGACACTTATATTTTCCATGTCTCAGTCCATAGAAGACCAACTCCACAGCTCTTGACCAAATGATATAGAGGTAGGAAGCAAATCAGAACATGGCAAAGAGGAAGCAGATAGAGAGTTATGCTCACCAGAGACAAATATATACTCCAAAGAAATGCCCCCAGTGACCCACCTTCTCCAGCTACACACTACCTTCCTACAGTTACCATCCAGTTAAACACTATCAGTGGATTAATGCACTCACTAGGTTAAGGCTCTCATAACCAAATAATTTCACCTTTAAATCTTTCTTGCCTTTTCTCACACACGAGTTTTAGAGTAACACTTCATATCTAAACCATAACATTCTGCCCTTGGCCCCCAAAAGTTCATGTCCATCTCATGATGCAAAATACATTGAGTTCATATCCAGGAGTCCACATGTTCTTAACAGTTCCAGTATTCCCTAAAAGTCTAAGTCCAAAACCTCTTCTGAAACTTAAGGAAAACTCAGCATGAGACCCCATAAAAATCAAAGCAAGCTATATAATCCAATATATAATGGCATGGATTAAACATTTCCATTCTACAAGTGATAAATAGGGACATAGAAAGAAGAGATGGGACCAAAACAAGACCAAAATCCAGCTGGGCAAACAAGATCTGTAGTTCCACATCAAGCATATTTGGGGCAAATAACATTGTGATATTCTCTCCAAAGGACTTGTGCATCTCCACTCCTATGGCTTTGTTAATAGCGGTCCACATGGCCTAGCTTGACTTGTGTTTGTTCAATTCCTATGGGTTTCCTTGGAAAATGATCCATGTTACTAGCATCTCTTAATCTCAGGAGTCCCCACTATAGTTTTCTTCATCCTCTCAGGGGCTGCCTGATGGTATTCCAACTCTAATACATTTTTCCTGACCTCCCAGGTTGTCCTTTGAAATCACAGCGGGAGCCTCCATGACCCCCTAATGCCAATGTCTTGCAAACTTAAAAAACCAGCACCATGTAGTTGATACCAAGATCTGCCACCATCTCAAGCAGTAGACAAACCTCCTAAAACCATGACTACAGCAACCTCTGAGTGCCTGGGCAGCTAAGCATGGTGAAATAACCTCTTAGGCCTCTCTCTTCAATCATGGTGCCTCACTGATCTCTTCTCAAAGGAATTTTTATTTTTAAAACTTTGAGCAAGGCAAGATGGTGCCTGACTGTAATCCCAGCAGCTTAGTAGGCTGAGGCAAGAGGATTGCAAGTTCAAAGTCAGCCTCAGCAATTTAGCAAGGCCCTGAGCAACTCAATGAGATCCTGTCTCTAAATAAAATATTTAAAAAGGCTGAGGATGTGACTCAGTGGTTAAGTACCTCTGGGTTCAATTTCTGGTACAAAAAAAAAAAAAAGAAAAGAAAAATTAAATCTTTGAGCCTGAAACTGGGGTGGTTTTGCCAATTTCTGAGATGCACTCAAGTCTTCTTTCCTATTGTCTCTGGGCAAAGTATTTAGCATCTCTTTAGTGGTCATGATGTTTTAACAATCACACCTTCCTAAGCTCCAGTTTGACTCACACATTTAATTTGACTCTGAACAAATTAAAAGGTGTTCTTTTTTTAAAGATGGACACAATATCTTTATTTTATTTTATTATCTTATGTGGTGCTGAGAATCAAACCCATTGCCTCACATGTGCAAGGCAAATGCTCTACCACTGAGGTATAAATCCAGCTCCTACAGATATCATATTATTATTAAAGGCCATGTGGCAGCTACTATATTTGTAATAGATGCAAAATATGGTTATCACATTAGTATTAAAGGCCAATAGGACATATATTATATATATTAATATGGTATAGTATGAATAGTTCATTTATATTAAAGACCACAGGGCATCTATCATATTAGTTTTAGAATCTATAATATAGACAGTATATTAAGGAGAAGACAGCTATTACATTTGTTTTACATGCTATAGTATGGATATCACATTATTATTATTTTTAATATTTTTAGGTTTTGATGCACTTTATTTATTTATTTATATGTGGTGTTGAGGAATGAATCCAGCACCTCACACATGCTAGGCAAACAGTCTACTACTGAGCTACAACCCCAGCCCCTGAATATCACATTATTATTAAAGACCATAGGGAAGCTATTATGTCATGCTTACATGGTATAATATCAACATCATATTAATATAAAGGGCACTAGAACACGTATTTGATTACTTTTATTATTTTTAGATGCTATAGTACATATATTAATATTAAAGGCCTCAGGGAAGTTATTAATTTTTTATGTTAAATATGAATATTACATTAATAAAAAAATAGATGCTACAATATTAATGTTATATCAATTAAAGGCAAAAAGGTAGTTGTATTTAGTTTTAGATGCTATACTAGGATATCACAGTAATATTAAAGGCCACAGTATAGCTATTATATTAGCTTTAGATGCTATAGTATGGGTATTATAATAGTATTAAAGACCACATGGCAGCAATTGCTTTAGCTTTAGATTATATAATGTGAATAATATATTAATTTTAATCAACAATGGACTGCCAGTATATTAGTTTTGAATGCTATAGTATGATATCATATTAGCATCAAAGGCCACAGAATAGATATTACTTTTAGATCAATAGTATGAATATCGTAGAAATATTAAAAGTGACAGTGCAGCTATTAAATCAATTTCAGAAGGCACACTATGAATATAATAATAGTATTAGAGGCTATAAGACACCTATTGTTTTAGTAAGGATTCTACACTAGGGATATCATATTAGCATAAAACACCACTGTGTAGTTTTTTAAATTATTTTCAGATGCTACAATATGGATATTATATGAGTATTAAAGGCAATAAAACAGCTCTTATATCAGTTTTAGATGCCACATGTATATCACAATAGAATTAAAAGCCACAGGGCTGCTATTATATCCATTTTCAATGCAATGCTATGGTTACATTAATACAAAAGGCCACAGAGAAGCTATAATATTCATTTTCAATACTATAATATAGATATAATAATAGTATTAAATACCATTATGCAGCTATTATATTTTATTTATTTACTTATTTATTTATTTATTTATTTATCAGGGATTGAACTCAGGTGCACTTGACCACTGAGCAACATCATCAGCCCTATTTTGTAGCTTGTTTAGAGACAGGGTCTCACTGAGTTGCTTAATGCCTCACAGTGGCTGAGGCTGGCTTTGAACTCACAATTCTCCTGTCTCAGCCTCCCAAACCACTGGGATTACAGGCATGTACCACTGAGCCTGGCTTATAATGTTCTTAAATGCTTTAGTAAGGATGTCATATTACCTGTGAAATGCACATTGCAGATATTATATCAGCTTTGGACACTATATAATGGATATCATATAAATATTAAAGGCAGCTATCATATCAATTTTACATGCTGTAATAAGAACGTCATATTACTAATAAAGCCACAGGGAAGCTACTCTATCAGTTTTTAATGATCTAACATGAATATAATATCAGTATTAAAGACCACATGGTAGCTATTATATCACTTTTAGATGTAATTGTAAGAACATTACATTAGTATTAAAAGCTACAAAGATGTTATACTATATTTAGATGCTATGGTAAATATATAGGAATTAAAGGTCATAAGAGAACAATTATATTAGTTTAGATGCTATAATATGAATATCATAACAGTACAAAGGTAAGAGGACTGCTTTTAGATCATTAATAGATGCTATGATATGGATATCAGATTAGTACTAAACGCCATAGGGCAGGAATTATATTCATATAATTGCTATAAATGAACTTTATGTAATATTAAAAGGCCACAGGAGAATTATTATTTTAGTATTAGGGGTCACAGTATTGATACTGAATTAGTATTAAAGGCCATAGGGCATCTATTATATTAGCATTAGATGCTATTGAATGGATATTAATATGAACAGCCACAAAGAGCTATAATATTCCATTAACAGGCCACAGTATGGATAAAATATTAATGGCAAATGCACAGGATGCACAAGGATGCTCTTTCAGTATTTTGAGATGTTGTAGTATACATATTACATTAATATTAAAGCTCCAAAGTTCAGTTATTATATTAGTTTTATATGCTATGTGATGACTATCTTATTAGTATAAGGAATTATATTAGTTTAGGTACTATACTTTGGATAACAGATTACTATTTTTTTTTAAAGAGAGAAGGAAAGAGAGGAGAGAGAGAGAGAGGAAGAGAGAGAATTTTTAATATTTATTATTTATTATTTATTTTTCAGTTTTCAGTGGACACAACTGAAATCTTTATAAAATAATATGTGGTGCTGAGGATCGAGCCCAGTGCCAGGTTAGTGCATTACCACTTGAGCCACATCCCCAGCCCAAGAGATTACTATTAAATGCCAGAGGTCAGCTATTATGTTAACTTTATATGCTATCATATGGATATGCTATATTATAAGGTTTATTGCTATCATATGGATATTTCACTTAAAATGACAAGAAGCCTATTTTATTAGTTTTAGAGTGCATAATATGGATAAATTATTAATGTTAAATGCCACAGTCTAGCTATTAGATTAGTTTTAGGAGTTATAGTTTGGGTATCATATTACCTATAAGAGCCACAGGGCTAATATTTTATCAGTTTTAGATGCTACTATGGGTATCATATAAATATTAAGACCAAAGAGCAACTATTATATCAAGTTAAGATGCTATAATAAGGATGTCTATTGATATTAAAGGATACAGAGCAGCTATTATATCAATTTTAGATGCAATATTATGTATTACATTAGCTTTAAGGGCCACAGGGAAGATATTATATTAGATTGAAATGTTATAATAGGGATATTACTTTAGTATAAAAGGCTATAGGGAGGCTATAATGTTAGTTTTGGATGTTATGGCATGAATATTATATTAACAATAAATGTCACAGGGAAACTATTATATATCAGTTTTAGATGTTACACTCTTAATATCATATTAGTATTAAAGGCATCAGGGCAACTATTGTATTTGTTTTAGATCTATGACATGTATGTTATTATTTCAGTCATCTTTTTCACTGCTTTGACCAAAGGACCTGACAAGAACAATTTTAAAGGAGGAAAAGTTCATTTAGGGGCTCACAGTTTCAGAGATCTCAGCCAATAGATGGCCAACTCTATTCCTTGGGGCTTAAGGTGGGGCAGAAGAATGTGGTGAAGGAAAGTGGTGATCAGGAAGCAGAGAACCTAAGCTCAGCTCATCAAATATGTACCCCAAAGGCACAGCCTCAATGACCCACCTACTCCAGCTACACACTATCAGCCTGCAGTTACCACTCAGTTAATTCCTTCAGAGGATTACTAATTTGGGTTAAGGCTCTCATAACCCATCATTTCACCTTTAAACTTCCTTAAATTGTCTCACACATGAGCATATCCAAACCAATTATTTGGTATTAAGGCCACAGTGCATCTATTATTTTAAATGCTGCAGTATGGATATTATATTAATATTAAAGGCCACAGGGTAGCTAATATATTTTATTAGCTTTGGATACTATAGGATGGATATCATATAAATATCAAAGGCCACAGGACAACTGTTGCATCAGTTTCAGATGTTCCAATATGAATATCATATTAAAATTAAACACTTCAGGTCAATAATTATGTACTATTAGATACTCAAGTATGGATATCATGTTAGCATTAAAGTCAACATGGCAGTATATTGATTTTAACACTATCCTATAAATATCATATTAGTTTAATGGCCACAAAGCTGATATTATATTAGTTTAAGGTGATACAATATCATATTAATACTATAGGACCTATTTACCAGTTTTATATGAAGCACGTATTTATCAGTTTTATATTTATAATATGTATATTAAATGAATATTAAATTTCATAAGAAACTTATTAAATTGGCTTCACAGGTTATGGGAATGATGTAACATTAATATTAAAGGCCACAGGACATCTATTACATCAGTTTTGGAGGCTATAATATTAGTATCAAAAGCTACAGGGGAGCTATTAGTTTAATATGCTTTAGTATGGATGTCACTTAGTATTAAATTCTATTGCACAGCTACTTACTTGTTTTAGATATTATAGTTTGCATCTATTAGTAATAAAGACCTCCAATATCAGGTTTTTTTGCTATAATATGGAAATCATATTAATACTGAAGGCCACAGAACAGTTATTTAATCAGTTTTCCATGCTATAGTATGAATAAAAAAACAGTAATAAAGGCCACAAGACAGCTATTGTATTAAATTTAGAGGTCAAAGTATGAATATTATGATATTAAAGTCTAGAGGGCAGGTATCATATTAGTTTTGAATGCTATACTATCAATATTAAAGGACACAAGGATGTTATAACATTAGTTTTTCATGGTATATTATATTAGCACTAAAGGCCACAGAGCAGTTATTACTTTAGTTTTAAAGAGCACAATATGTTTATCATATTACATATCATATTAAAGGGCCCAGGCAGCTACTATATTAAGTTGAGGAGCTACGGTATGGATATCATATTAGTATTAAAGTCCACAACATATCTATTATACTAGTTTTAAATCCAACAGTATGGATATAATATTTGTCCTAAGGACACAGGACATATGTAATATTAATTTAAGATGCTATATTATGGATATAATATTAATATTTAAAGCCAGAAATCATCTATTATACAATATATGCTATTATATGGATATTATAGTAAGATTAAAAGACACAAATCATCTATTATGTTAGTTTGAGTTGCAGTAGCATGGATATCATATTGGTATTTAAAGCCACAGTGCCACTATTTTATTAGTATTGGATATACTGTAGCACAGATATCATATTAATATAAAAGCCACTGGGAAGCTATTATATTAATTTTGATGCTATACTATAAAAATTGTAATAGGTTTAAAGTTACAGGGCAGCTACTATATTAGTTTTAGATATAAATTAGCTATTATATCAGTTTCAGAGGCTACAGTACAAATATGTTAGTATTAAAGTGAACAGGTTAGATATTATATTGGCATATAAATGTCATAGGGAAGCTACTAAATTAGTTCAATATGCTATAATATTGACATTGCATTGATATGGAAGACCACAATTCAGCTATTGTATCAGCTTTAAATACTGTAGTATGAATACCTATTAACATTAAAGGCCACAGGGCACTATTATTCTAGTTTTAGAAGCTTTGGTATGGATATTTTATCGTTATTATAGATTACAGGCAGCCATTTCATCAGATTTAGATCAACAGTATATTTTATTAATATTAAAGTTTTATATTCTGTTATAATTATTATATGACTATGAAATTCTACAAGGCTGCTGTATTATCAGTTTTTGGTGCTATAGTATGTATGCACTATCAGTATTAAAACATCACTTGAAGCTATTACATTAATTTCAGAGGCCACAGTTTTTATCTCAATATTAAAGGCTACAAGGCAGCTATTATGCCAGTTTTAGATGCTACAGTATGGATATTATGTTAATATTACAGGTCACAGAGCAGCTATTATATTAGTTTTTGGAAGGTATAGTATGGACATCTTTAATATTAAACACAACAGGCACCTATTAGTATTAGGTACTATAGCATGGATATTATTAGTATTAAAGACCACAGGGAAGCTATTATAATATTTTCTAGGTACCATAGAGCATATCATATTACTCTTGAAGGCAAAAAGGAAGCTATTTTATTTATTTTAGAGTCTACAGTATGAATATAATATTAGAATAAAAGGCTACATGGAGACTATAATGATGCTACATATGGATAAAATTAGTATTAAAAGCCTACAGGACAGCTTTTCTGTTAGTTTCAGAGGACAAAGTATTGATATTATACTAAAATCAAAGGCTACAGGGCAGCCATTATATTAGTTTTAGATGCTATAGTATGGCTATCATATGACATTTATAGGACACAGGGCACATATTTTATTACTTTTAGATGCTATACTGTGGATATTAGTAGTAAGGACCAAAATTCAGATATTATATAAAATTCAAAGTATGTGGGCTGGGGTTGTAGCTCAGTGATAGAGAACTCACCTAGCATGTGTGAGGTGCTAGGTTTGAGCCTCAGCACCACATAAAAATAAATAAATGAAAATGAAGGCATTGTGTCCAACTACAACTAAAAAAATTTTTTTTAAAACTTCAAAGTATATGCCCCTTTTACATATTTCATGTTGAAGTAATAACATATGTTAACTTATTATATTTTTATGCTGTCACTAGGTTCTAGGTTTTCCTTCTTAAAACGTGATCACTACAGAGGAAAAAAATGACATTTTGGAGATTTTATTTCAACTCATGATTTAACTTTCCTGAGTGACTTTATAAAAAATGTCTCTATTTTATTTCTATGCATACATTTTAGCAGCAATATAATCAAATATTTGTCACTGGGACAAACAGTCAGAGAACATCCATTTCCTCCAAGACCTCTACAGGAAGTGGTGAGACAAGAGAAGCAGAGGTGTCAGATCAGTCCCGGAGTGATATTAGATGCTGCTGTGTTGTGGGAAACTCTACCTTTTAGAAATCACAGGGAGCTATGGATGCCCAAACTCTTGCATGAGTATAAATCTAGTTGAAATTCTAAGTAATCTTATTGTCACTAGCTCATCATGAAGCTAATGATAACTAAAGGATCTATGGGGCTGGGGATGTAGATCAGTGGTAGAAAGATTTCCTAGCATGCAGGAAGCCCCAGAAACACAAAAGGAAAAAAAAAAGAATTTGTGTAATCAAATAGAAAATGAATAATTATTCCTCTTAAGGAAACATGTTGGACCTAAAACACTTGAGACTCTCAGAATCAAAATTCTCTCAATCATAAGCAAAGTAAGGTAAAAGTAATTTTAAAAATATTCCTTATAAAAAAATAGAAGTCCACAGAATTAAAAATTCTATAAAGGGCTAGAATGTGGTGCAAAGGCAGAGCATTTGCCTGGCATGTGTCAGGCCCTGGGTTCAATCCTCAGCACCACATATAAATAAACAAAATAAATAAATAAAATAAAAAGATCCACTGACAACTAAAAAAAATATTTTAAAATTTCTATAGAAAACTGAAAGAATATTAATCAAAAATTGAATTAGAAACACCTACTGCACAGAACTGGAGACCTGGAGGCCATGGGGAATTACATTACAAAATAACTCTGAAATAAGAAAATGAAACAATTAGCATACAAAACCTTGGACTGGTACTTAGAGTTCCCCCACTGGATAGGATCCTGGGATCATCAGGGCTCAAGGCTGACTGTCATCTGCCCTTTAACAAATTCTGATTTTATTTCAAATGTTCATGATCTACAGAGAAAATTAAAAAAGAGAAAAGTGACATTTCTAAAGTTATTTTATGGTATATCGCATTCTGATTCAGTCAAGATAATTCATCCAATGCAGGATGTCAGTGTTTACACAACGGACATTATTTGTGCACCATTACAAATATACTGCCAATTAGCACAGCAGCAAGGGAGCTGCTCATCCTAGACTAGAAGGAACAGAGTCTGGAGGAGGTGGAGGGAATGTCAGGAGGAGGAGGGGGCCTGGAAGATGGGTGGGGTCTGGAGAAGAGGCAGGGTCTTAAAGAGGAAGATGATTGGGCTGGAGTTATGGCTCCGTGGTAGAGGGCTTGCCTAGCATGTGTGAGGCACTGGGTTCAAACATTAGCACCACATAAAAATAAATAAACAAAATAAAGGCATTGTGTCCACGTGCAATTAAAAAAAAAGAGGAGGACGGTGAGGTCTGGAGGAGGGGCAGGACAGGAAGAAGGGAAAAATCTGGAGGAGAAACGGTCTGAAGGAGAGGGATAATGAGCTACAAGGGGGCAGGGCCTGGCAGATGGGTGAGACCTGAGGGAGGGACAGGCCCTAGAACATGAGTAGGATGTAGAGAGGCAGGGTAGGAAGGAGGGGGAAGGTGGTTCAGGAGGACAGGCAGGGCCAAAGAATATGGGTGGGGTCTGGAGAAGAGGCAGGACCCACGAGGGTCCCTTAGCAAGAGGGTCCTGGAGGGGTGGCTTTTTGCTAATTAAACTCTCCACCAAAATAAAAATGTGTGGCAGTGGTAGCTCAGTGGTAGAGTGCTTGCCTAGCATGTGTGAGGCACTGGGTTTGATCCTCAGCACCACATAAAAATAAATAAAATAAATGTATTGTGCCCTTCTACAACTAAAAAAAAAATTGGACAAAACTAAGCAAAGATTAAAGAAAAAATGTGGTTCATTATTAAAAATACAGGGGATGTATTTTTAATAAATTCTGGCTTTGTTAGAAGTAATATATTTAAACCTAAGTGGCTCAGAAGGCTGAGGCAGAAGGATCTTGAGTTCAAAACCAGTCTCAACAAAAGCAAGGCACGAAGCAACTCAGTGAAACCCTATCTCTATAATACAAAATAGAGCTGCCCCACACCAGGCATCTCCCTCAGGCTGCTCTGAGGAGAATGGAACACCAGGTGTCCCTAGAGACACGAACCACAAGGCTCCCCACACCAGGAGTCTTCCTCAGACAACTCTGAAGAGAAAGGAACCCCGGGCGTCACTAGAGACGTGACCCAAGAGAGTCCCCACACTGGCATCTCCTCCAGACGGCTCTGAGGAGAAGGGAACCCCAGGCCTACTTAGAGACATGACCTGTGAGGGTTCCCAACCCTGGTATCTCCCTCAGGAAACCCTAGAAACATGCCACACGAGGATCCCCAAGACAGGTGTCCCCCTTAGGCTGCTCTGAGGACAAAGAAACCCCAGGCATTCCTAGAGCCATGACTCACGAAGTCTCTAAGCCAAGAGTCCGCTGAGGCTTCTCTGAGGAGAAGGAAGCTCTGGGAGTCCCTGGAGGCATGACCCACGAGGGTCCCCAACCTGGGTGTCTCTCTCTCAATCTGCTCTGAGAAGGGAGCTCTGCCCCTCTCTGTGGAGTGACCCAACACTCCAGTGAACTGGGGCTCTCCAGGGTTGGTCCTGAGTGGGAAGCCAGCTCTCCTCACTCTCAGGGAGGCAGCATTAAAGATGGCGGCGAGGCCCTGCCCCTTCTTGACCACGCCCCTTTGGCCACGTGCAGGTGCTCCAGCCCCAAGCTGCTCACAGCTCAGAGGCGGGGCCTCACCCAGCTCCCTGGTGAATGTCAGTGCCTTCTTCCACCCTCAGCCGGTACTGAATAAAATCTGTTCCCACTGCTGTAACTAGGTCTGGCTGTGGCACCATGAGTAGTGGAATCTCAGGAGAGGAGAAATGGAGTCCAGGAGACCCCCTCCCTGCACTCCACCAGGCCAAGGGCTGCAGCAGCCTGAGCCAGGTGGGAAGAGGCACAGAGGGAGGCTTCCACAGGGAGTCTAGACCCTCACGCAGGTGCCCAAGGGCAGAGACCACCTCAAAGGCTTCTGGGACATGTAGTCTTTGAGACAGTGACTTAGCCAGGGTCTGCCCCATTTTAGAATCAGGGATTTTAAGAAAATCTGTTAATTCCCAGCCCAGGATGACCACTGTAGGAGGGTAGAAGAACCTGAGCTCAGACCAAATTCCCAGTAGCCTCTGGGAGCATTCCAGGTCATTCAGTCTGTCCTGCCTATACAGCTCTCACCATGGATGCCTCTGAGAACTGCAAGCTACACAGATGGGCTTCTCAGGGATTCTGGACAGTGTAGTCTGGTGCTCTACCCACACTGTCTTTGCCCTTCAGGACCATGGAAGCTGTTTGCCATGTGCTGGTCCAGGAACCCTGGAGGACCCTGGCAGTGGACTCTGGTGTTCTACCCATGCAGCCCTCACCCCAGAAGCCTAGGGGTTGCAAGTAGCACATTTACCCTCATAGTGCCAGGATTCTGGGTAGTGCAGTTTCGTATTCTACAATGCAGCCCAGCTGCAGAGGTCTCTGTGAGCTGCAGGCTACTCAGGCACCCCTAGTGATTCTGAACAGTGTAGTCTGGCATTCTGCCCATTCAGCCCTCACTCCAGAAGCCTATGGAGACTTCAAGTAGCACATTCACCCTCATACACCCACCCAGGATTCTGGGCAGTATAAACCAGCCTTCTACAATGCAGCCCCCCCCTCCCCTACAGAACTCTCTAGAAATTGCAGGCTACAAAGTCATTCAGGCATCCCTAGGGATTCTGGACAGTGTAGTCTGATGTTCTGCCCATGCAGCATCACTACAGTGGATTCTGGGAGCTGCAAGCCCCCAAGGATAATGGGTATTATAGCCTGGTGCTATGTTCAACTGTACAGTGACTAGTTAGAGCTTGGAGCATCCAGGAATTCTGAGTATTGTAGTCAGTTCTACTCAGTCAGCCCTGACCGCAGAGGTCTCTGAGAGCTATAGGCCATTGATTATTGTGGGTTGTGCAGTCCATCCTACCTAAGTGGACTTCACCCACATCACGGCTCTGGGATCTTTGTAGCACAAGCCTACCTAGACACCCCTGGGAGTCTATGTATTGCAATACAAACCTTGACCCAGCAGTACTCAAAAGGTAGGTGTCTGAGAGCTGCAGGCCCCCAGGGATTCTGGGTAGCATAGTCCTGTCTTCTGCCTCCATAGCCCTCAGTGTGGAAGCCTCTGAGAGTTCCAGGCCACATGGACATGGGCACCTCCAAGAATTCTAGGTAGTGTAGTTCAGCTCCCTACCCTGTAGCCCTCACTATTGCAGATCCTGGAACTGTGATTCCCCCCTGAGGATTCTGGATAAGGTAGTCCAGTGTTTTGCCTACATGCCCTTACTGCAAGGGCCATGAGAACTGAAGGCCACATGCTTGCCTTGATACTGAAGACCTCACTGTGGAAGTCTCCTGGAATTGCAGGCAGCACATTCACCAGTGTGTCCCCAGGAATTGTAGGTAGTGTAGTCTGACCTGCATAATGCACAACTCTCACTTGGGAGGCCTCTGGAAGTTGCAGGCTGCATACTCACCTGGGAAACACACCTCACCAAGGACTCTGGATACTGTAGTTAAGCTGAGAGCTGCTGACACTGAGATTTGTGGATAATATAGTCCTGTGTTTTTCCTACTCACTGCAGAAAATTCTGAAACTCAAATTCCCCCTTAGGATTGTGACTAATGCAGTTCAATAGTTTGCCCACTCACCACAGAGGATTCTGGGAGCTGCAGTCCCTGAGGGTTCTGGATAATGCAGTCTAGGGTTTGCCTGCACATTCCTGGTGAGGATCACAGGAGATGAAGACCCCATGCTTTCCCTGGGACCCTGGAGATTCTAGGAAGTGAGCTCTACCAACAAAACCATCACCACCAAATCCTCTGAGACTTACAGGGTTACAGGGTATGTAGGCATCCCTAGACATTCTGAGCATTGAAGTCTGGTATTCTGCCCTTACAATTCTCACCCCCAGAGGCTCCTGGGCAGAGCAGGCACCCAAAAGTAACTGGCAGCATAGTTTGATTTTTTGTCAGTACAGCCCTCTCTGCAGAGGTCTCTGCAAGTTGCAGGTCACCAAGAATTATGGGTAGCACAGTCTGTCATTTGACCTATGTTGCCCTCACTGTAGAAGGCTATGGTAACTGCAATGAAGATTCTGCAGTTACCCAGGATTCAGGTAGTACAATCCATCATAATCTTTGCATCTCTCACCCTAGAGGCTCCTGAGAGCTTCTTGCTGCATTTTCATGAGCCCTTACCCTCAGGCCCCAGTGAGACTCCAGGCACTGGGTCCTCCCTGCATCATCTTGAGGGGGCATTTGTGTCCTCAGACACTCAAGCCACACAAAATACATTGACATACCATGATAATGAGCAGCCAAAGCCTCAGTAAGAAATACTGTTGTAAAATAAGTTCTCCTAAAATATTACCTGAGAAAGTAAAGAACATGGCAGAACTTACTTCTCAGCCCACCAGGCAGTGCACAGGAAGCTTCTTCCTCATGTTTTCCTCACATGGACCTCAGTCATCCTGAATCCACAGTGGAGCCTCCATGGGTAGGTGCCAAGGAGAAGGAAGCTCTAGTGCTCACCATAGACATATCCACCAGGCATCCCCAGTCCATGATATCTTTCCAGGTGTCTCCCAGGATTAAAAAAAGAAAGAAAGAAAGAAAACCTCTGGTCTACACCTTAGATAGAGCCTCTAGGAGTCCCTAGATGTGGCATCTCTCAGGTGGATCCCCAGAAGAAGGAAGTTGGATTAGGGCACAGAACACAGCCCCCAAAAGCAGTTGATCACAGAAAGTTGTTCTGAGTGCCCCCTGCTGGCCACTGTGGGCAGTGCAGGATGCTGGGTGTTCACTGTTCAGAGCTGCACCCCCTTGTGCTAGGCACAATGAAGCTCTTAAATTCATAGTTCTGACTATTCCAGGTCATGATTTTGGAAATCGAAAAGAAATAGAGCCTACCATCCTATGTCTTGATCAGAATGGATGGAGATAGCAAGTAGCAAAGTACATGACCCATACACAAAATTTCACTGATTTCCTATAATTCAGCCATCATGTAGGGGAAACAGTGAAATTTATAAACTGGAATAAGAAAAATTTTAAAGCATTAATATTTAAAATAGAGACCCCAAATTTGAAGTACTTACATGTAAATCTTAAAGTACAACCATACTTTCAGAAAATCTTGAAATGTTTATAAAGAAATCAAATGAAATATAAATAAATGCAGAGATAGTCTTTGCTCAGGTCTCAATATAATTAAGATGAAATTATCTCAAATCTGATCTGAAGATTCAGTGCATTCCAGAAATTCCCAACAAGCTATTTATAAACCTAGACTAGACAGCACTGACTGCAAAAGAATACACTTCAAGAAGCCACATATCTGGATGCCAGAACCTATCAAAATACTCCCTAGACTTGAATTTAAAATGTGAAACACTAAAACTCCAGAAGATATGCATGACCACATGTTTCATGATAAGGTTTTATATGTAGCCCCCGCAAAAAAAAATCCATAAAAGATGGGGACGTGGCTCAGTGGTTAAGCTCTGGGTTCAATCCCAGCTACCAAGCAAACAAACAATAACAACAAGAAATCCATGAAAGAAAACCTGATGTGGACTGTAGTAAATTTCTCTGTTAAAAAAATCATATAAAGGAAATGAAATGACAAGTCAAACACTGGGGGAATCTTTGGAAGATATATGTCTAAAACAAACTTGTGTAAAAAATATACTGAGACATTCAACAATAAGACAACATAATGGGTAAAGACATGAACAGACAACTCACAAGAAATATACGACATGGCAAAGAAGCATAGAAATGATTCTTAGTATCACCTGTCATGAGGAAAGCACAAACTAAGACCCCAAGGTGCACTGCACACCTACTGAGCTGCTAAGGTCTTTACTAAGTGTAGTATCAACCATGAGGATGATGAGCAGCCACAGGCACTCTTGTGCATTGCTGGAAGAGCACACAACAGTTCAACACTATCAAAAAACTGGGCATTTTCTCTAAAGTTAGACATGGTGTCACCACACAATCCTAAAAATATAGACAACTTCCTCAAAAATGTATATCTAGATAACAGCATAACTACATATAGTAGTTCTATTCACAATGCCCCAATACCTTAAGCAATCAGGATGTGCTTCAATGGGTGAACAAATAGCATAACTGCTATGAATCTATGCCATGGAGGCCCTGGTGTCTCTGAGCTGGAATCTTTAATCTTGGGGTCTCCACTACAGTTCCAGCTGCCTTCTCGCTTCATACATCACACTCTCAGAGGCTGCCCACAGCAACTAACCATTTCCCTGGCCTCCCAGGTTTCCTTTGAAATCTCAGTGAAAGCCTCCATAACTCCCTAACTCCAATGTTCCCCAATCAAAAAAAAAAAAAAAAAAAAAAAGATAATAGAAAAAGCACCATGTGGTTGATGCCAAGTTCTTTTACCATCTCAACCAGTAGGCAAGATTTCTATGACTATGGCTGTAGTATCCTCTGAGTGCCTGGCATGGTGAAACAACTTCCCAACCCCCTTATTCAAGCAGGTGCACAAATGGTCTCAAAGAATTTTTACTTTTATAACCTTGAGCCAGAGATAGGTGAGATCTTTTCAATTCCTAAGATGCCCACAAGCCATCTTTTATATTGTCTCTGGGTAAAGTAATTTAGCATCTCTGCAGTAGTGGTAATGTCCTAAACAATAACAACTTCCTTCACCCCAATTTTACATTTTTCTGGGCAAACTGGAAATTGTTAAAATCTTTCTGCTCTGCTTTCTAATCTGATCCACAGTAAATTTGACTAAAGGTCACCAGCAATATCCATCTCACTACCTGAATGCTGTGTTGCCTTGAAATTTCCTTTGCCAGATTAATTAGTTCATCACCTTTTAATTCAACCTCATAGAATGTCTCAGGACACAGGCAAAATGTAGACAACTTCCTAGCAAGAGTGTAATATGAATGCCCTCTAGTCGTATTTCAATACAGTCCTCTTCCTCTGAAACCTTACAACTCCATTCTTTGTTTCTTACAATCCTATTGGCATTTTAGACTTCTGAGAACCCACCAGAATCCCTCAAATTAAGCTCCACCTGCAACATACTAAACCTTTCCCAGCTTTATCTCTAAATATTTCAAACTTCCTCCCCCAAAAAACCATCTCCAAAGACTACTGAATCGTATAAGTTATTCATAGCAAAAACCCACTCACTGATTTAGTCAGCTTTTTCACCACTGTGACCAAAAGATCTGACAAGAAAAATTTTAAAAAGGAAAAGCTTATTTGCTGCTCATGGTTTCAGAGGCCTCACTCGAAAGACACACAACTCAATAGCTCATTTAAAAAAAAAAATTAGTAATCAATGGACTTTTATTTATTTATATGGAGTGCTGAGAATTGAGCCCAGTGCCTCACACATGCTAGGCAAGCACTCTACCACTGAGCTCTTGGTCCAAATTGAAGCAGAACATCATTGCCAAAACTGTAGAGAAGAAAAGCTGGCAAACAAGGAGGGGGGGGGGGAGAGAGAGAGAGAGCGCGCACGAGAGAGCTCTTCTCCCCAGGGAGAAAATATTAACCTCAAAGGAATGCCACCATTTACCCACCTTGTCCAGTTACACCCTACAGTTACCACCCAGTTAATCCCTATCAGTGGATAATTAGGTTAATGCTTTCATTAAATTGGTGCACTGATGTGGGTTAATGCTCTCAGGATCCAGTCATTACACATTTAAATTTTATCTCATTGACTCACATGAGTTTTTTAAAGGATAATTCATATCTAAACCATAATAGCTATGGATACCATAAAAACATGAAGGAGACAGGGCAGCTATTATATTAGCCTTAGGTGCTACACTATGGATATCATATTAGTATTAAAGATCACAGGGAGATACTATTTTGCTTTAGATGTTATAGTATGTATATTATATTTGGATTAGAGACCACAGGGCAGCTATTATATTAGTTTTTTATGTCATGTTGTGAATATTATTTTAGTATTAGAGGCCATGATGTGGACATTATATTAATATGGAAGCTGTTATATTAGTGTTCAAGTCTACTCTATGGACACTATATTTGTATTAGAGGCCACATATGGTCACAATAGCATCAAAGGCTACTATGGATAATACATTAGCATTAGAGGCTGCACACAGACAACATGTTAGCATTATCACTCCACCGTAACAGTATTATGACACTGCCATATCCAGGAAGGTGGCACATACCCTCTGGTGGTCATTAGGACCCAGCACAGAATGCTTCAATTCAGAGGTGTATGGGCACCCCATGACATTCCTGAGAAATGGATGAAATTCAGTACTGTATCTAGATTACTCAAGGCCATGATTTTGGAAATTCAAACTAAAATGAAACCGAGTATCCTTGTTTTTTAAGAAATGGTAATTGAACAAATTATTCAAACCTTATTAAGTGAAATGAATGTAGACACAAACAGAAACTCCTACAAAAATTAACTCATAATAGTCCACAACTAAAATGTGATAAAACTAAAAAAAAATTCTGGAAAGAAATAAGAAAACCTATGTAATCTTAGATTTAGTAATGGTAGTGTATATTTGTTTCTGGGGGGTTTGAATGTAGGGCCTCACACATGCTGTACAAACTTTTTAATACTGAGTTACTTCGCCAGTCCTTGCTGATGAGATTTAACTCACAATACCAAATACCAACTGACTGAAAAAAAATACCAATAACATGGACTTTATAAAGTTCAATTTTTGGGGGGGGCTGGGGATGTGGCTTAAGCGGTAGCGTGCTCGCCTGGCATGCGTGCGGACCGGGTTTGATCCTCAGCACCACATACAAACAAAGATGTTGTGTCCGCCCAAAGCTGAAAAATAAATATTTAAAAAATTAAAAAAAAAATTTAAAAAAAATAAATAAAGTTCAATTTTTTACGAAGTGCACTGTTGCATGCCAACAACCCCAATTACTGAAAAGGTTGAGGCAGGAAGATTGCAAACTTGAGCCCAGGCTAGGAAATTTTTTAAAGGATGGGATTAGCTCAGTGGTAGAGCACTTGCCTAGTTTATGTGAGGCCTGTGGTACAATCCCCAGCACAACACATACACACACTCATACATGCACACAAGCACACACACACACACACACACACACACACTTTTTTCCTACTCTGTAAAAGATGGCACATAGTTATACAAAATGATGCTCAGCATCCCATATCATCAGGGAATCATAAATTAAAACAATAGTGAGGTAGTATGGCACATCTTTTAGAACTACTGAACTAAAGAAACAGCAGTGCACCAACAGCTGCAGGATGTGAGATACCAGCAGTCTCAGGCATTACTAGGAGAATATGTGACATGGCCATTTTGGAAGACGATGTGCCAGTTCTTCCCAAAGCAAAAAAGTCCAATCTATAACCCAGCAGTGTCCCTATAAATCATCTTCTTTTAGAGAAATTCTTTGAAAAAGTATGTCAAAACAAAACTAGCATGTAATTATGCATAGCAGCTCTATGATGCTGATCAGATCATAAATAAGAATGTCCTCCCATAGCTGAATGCATAACCAACACAGAATATAAAAGAATGAACTGCCACCCTTCACAGAGACATAGATAAAACCTACCTGGTATACTGCTAAGTAAAATAAGCCAGGCTGAAGAGGCTACATGCTGTATGGTTTACCTTTTATGACATTCTAGAAAAGACCAAATTACAGAGGAAAAGTTGTGCAGGATGAGGCCCAGGAGCCTCCCAGCACAGGAGTCTCCATTTACATGGAGTTGGGGTACACCACCCTGCCTGTGGTTTTTCTCATGACCATCCTCCATCCTGAAGCTGCCCTAGAGCCCACCAAAAGTCCTTATTAAAGCACAAGCCCCTCCTAGGCCCCCAGGAGATTCTACAGGATTTAGGAGCTCTGTGCAAATAACCAAGGTAAAAGAATCAATATTAGAACAAAAAATGCTCCTAACACCTCTGTCACTCAGAAAATATGAAGATTTTAGGAGTGCTGTACCAGGAACTGGGTGCAGAGGCTGAATGTGTGTATTTCTTTTTTTTTTTTTTTTTTAGTTTTCGGCGGACACAATATCTTTGTATGTGGTGGTAAGGATCGAACCCGGGCCACATGCATGCCAGGAGAGCGCGCTACCGCTTCAGTCACATCCCCAGCCCTGAATGTGTATTTCTTATTATGTCAAAGCCCATAATCTGGAGCAATAATAAATTCATTGCTCATAATGAAACAATGAATTAATTATATGTCAGAAACTGGGAGCTAGATGGGGTGAGAAGTTATGATAAACAAGGGGTGAAGGCAGAGGGATCTATGTCATAAGGGGTCAGAATCCACTGACTGCAGATGAGTATAAACTCACATTTTGCTTAAAACATTCACAGATGGTTCCACATAAACATAGTTATAACTAGGGGATATGAAAAGATTAGAATACATATACACTTCTTTGCATTGTCAGTTGTGTGGATCATGATGCAAGATGAAATATGTTTTATAGACTTTTTTAAAGACCTTTATTTTATTTGTTATTTTTATGTGGTGCTGAGGATCAAACCCAGTGCCTCACACATGCCAGATGAGTGCACTACCACTGAGCCACAGCCCCTGCCAGATGAAAGATTTTAATATCACTCTCTAATCAAAGGAGCCAGGACTCTTTGAAGAAATGGCTGATACTAAGAGTAAGACAGTAAATATATAAGTCAGGGTAATTTAAATCTCAGAAAGAAAAAACTTTGGGACAAAACCAGAAAATATGTTAAAGGACAACAGGAGATAATGGAAAGATCTCCAATGGAAAGAATTCCCAATGGTTAAAGTAGGGATGAATTGAGCAGCAAAGTAGTATTTTTAAAAGGGAGGGGACAAAAAACAGCTTAAGGAAACTATCCAGATGACTGATATATATAAATGACTGAATACACAAACAAATGAGGTTGAGTAGAAACCTCTTGTGCAGAAGAATTCCATATAATTGAGAGAGACACAGTCATCAAGGAGGTAGAGCTAACTCTCTGATCCCTAAGCGTGAGCTCTGCATTATGACTTCCTCCAGAAGAACAGACAATGTGGACATGCAAAAAAAGAGTAACCTCACAGTAAGAAACCTGAAAGGCCCTTCTTCAAGCAGGTGAGCACAATCAATACTACCATTTCACCTTGAGGGCATGAGATGATAGAGCTGCTTTTCATGTCAGTGACCAGCTTCCCCAGTCCAATAGCCCCAGGCTAAATATGAGAAACACAAGGAAACCTGAAAGGCACTGCCTCAGCCAGGTGAGCACAGTCAATACTAATATGACAATAAGGACAAGAGATGACAGAGCAGCTCTTCACCTCTGTGACCTGCCTCCCCCAGACCCACAGCCCCAGTTTAAAAATGAAAAAAAAAAGGAAAATTCAAAAAAAATTCTAAAAAATACCTGACAAGTCGTCCTCAATGCTGTCAAGGTCATCAGAAGAAGGAAGTTCATAGAAACTGTCACGCCAAGAGAAGTCTATGGAGACATGATGACTGGATGTCATGTTGGCTCCTAGATGAGATCCTAGAACAGGAAGACACAGAACTGAGAATCCAAAGGATATGTGACTTCAGTTAATGTTAACATACCATTATTTTTTCTTCATGACAAATGGTCTAAGATGTTAACACTTTAGAGACAGCTCACCGAAGTCATAACAAGGGAAGAAACCAGGTTGAGGCTACCTGGGAAATCTCTGCACTTTCTTTTCAATTTCTGTATAAAGATAAAACTAAGCCTGGCATGGTGGCACATGCCTGTAATCTCAGCATCTTGGGAGGCTGAGGCAGGATGTCCGGGTGAGACATCTGACAACTATGGCAGGTACAGAACAAGGCAGAAGCCATTATGTCAACCTCCTCAACAAAGTAAACCTGCACTTTGTTCAGCTCACAATAATAACATGTCTGATTTCTGCTTCTAATAATTCAAATGCAACCATTTAAATATGATCAAAAGTGCATGTACTTTTCTAACGAATCCAACAAATATGAGTGAGATACTCAACTGCATTCTAAAAGTCATCTTATAAGCACATAGGGGCACCAACATTAGGATAAAATGTAATCATGGCATTTCCTACATGAAATAACCCTAAATTCTAATAAATACATAATTTCAAAAGAAAGACAAATTTCTGAAATCAAAAGCAAATTGATACATTTTTAAATGATATTTTGAACAAAGGCAAAACACTTAAAAGAGTTCTCCCACAAGAATTCCTGACAACATAAAGTATCATGCTCATTAGAAGGCTCATCCCTTTGTATGCAAGGAATAAGAGAACTTTCTGATGAATATAGAACTTTAATAGGACATATGGAAATGCTTTCTAAATTTGAAAAGAAGAAAATATCTTTTTTTAAAAAAAGCTTATTTTTAGTAAATGTATCTGAATTACAAAAAAAGCAGCTACTGACTTGTCTCTTACATTTTGTAATGATTTGCATCTCAGGAGATTTCATCTATAGTGGTTTTTAATATCATGAAATATCAATAGTTAACATTAAAAACATCATCATCCCTCTTCTCTTTTAAAACTGATTTGAGATTTTCTTAGAATAATTTCATATGAATTTGGAAGACGCACTTTGGTATATGTGTATATGTGTAAATACATGATCTTTTTAAAAAATTTTTTCTTTATTTTTAGTTGTAGTTCAACACAATACCTTTGTTTTATTTACTTATTTTTATGTGGTGCCGAGGATCAAACCCATGGCCTCGCACGTGCTAGTCGAGTGCTCTACTACTGAGTCACAACCCCAGCCCCAATACATGATCTTTTGAAACTATACCCCTCATGCTTGAGTCCTGTCAAAGACATCTTCTGTGTGTGTGGTGCTGGGATGGACTCCATGGCCTCTCACATGCCAGGCAAGTGTTCTGCCACTGAGCTGCACACCCAGTCTCAAACATGTCTTAATAAACGGAAATTAATTAAAATCATTTGATTATGAGCATTTCCAAACAAGACAATTCTCTCAAAACAATTTTCTCAATCAAAAACAAAGTAAGCTAAAAGAAATTTTTAAAATATTCCTTATTGGTGTAATCAAATAGAAAATGAATAAAAAATAGAAGTTCACAGAATTAAAAATCCTATACAGGGCTAGAGTTGTGGTGCAAAGGCAGAGCATTTGCCTGGCATGTGTTAGGCCCTGGGTTCAATCCTCAGCACCACATATAAATAAACAAAATAAATAAATAAAATAAAAAGAGCCACTGACAACTAAAAAAAAAATTTTTAAATTCTGTAGAAAATTTAAAGAATATTAATTAAAAATTGAATAGGAAAAACCTATTACACAGAACTGAAGGCCATGGGGAATTACATAGCAAAATAACTCTAAAATAAGAAAAATAAATGAATCAATTAGCATACAAAAGCTTGGACTGATACTTAGAGTTCTCCCACTGGATGGGATCCTGGGATCATCAGGGCTCAAGGCTGGCTGTCATCTGCCCTTTAACAAATTCTGATTTTATTTCAAATGTTCATGATCTATAGAGAATAAAAGAGAGAGAAAGGTGACTTTTCTAAATTTATTTTATGGTATGTCAAATTTTGATAATAGTCAAGATAATTCATCCAATGCAGAACCTCAGTGTTTATACAACAGATGTTATTTGTGCACCATGACAAATATACTGGCAATTAGCACAGCAGCCAGGGAGCTGCTCATCCTAGACGAGCAGGGGCAGAGTCTGGAGGAGGGGGATGGAAGGTCAGGAGGAGGGGGGGCCTGGAAGATAAGTGGGGTCTGGAGAAGAGGCAGGGTCTTAAAGAGGAGGAGGGTTGGGCTGGGGTTATGGCTCAGTGGTAGAGCACTTGCCTAGAATGTGTGAGGCACTGGGTTCAAACCTAAGCACCACATAAAAATAAATAAACAAAATAAAGGCATTGTGTCCATGTGCAACAACAACAACAAAAAATTAAAAAGAGGAGGGGTGAGGTCTGCAGGAGGGGCAGGACAGGAAGAAGGGAAAGATCTGGAGGAGAGAAAGGGTCTGAAGGAGGGGGAGAATGAGTCACAAGGGGGCAGGGCTTTGCAGATGGATGGGACCTGAGGGAGGGACAGGCCATAGAACATGAGTAGGACCTAGAGGAGAGGCATGGTAGGAAGGAGGGGGAAGGGTGGTTCAGGAGGACAAGCAGGGCCATAGAATATGGGTGGGGTCTAGAGGAGAGGCAGGGTCTGGAGGGTCCAGGAGAGGGCTGGGGATGTGGCTCAAGCGGTAGTGCACTCCCCTGGCATGCATGCGGCCCGGGTTCGATCCTCAGCACCACATAAAAAGATGTTGTATCCACCGAAAACTGGAAAATAAATATTGAAATTCTCTTTTTTTTTAAAAAAAAAGGGTCCTGGAGGGGTGGCTTCTTGCTAATTAAACTGTCCACCAAAAGAAAAACGTGTGGCTGTGGTAGCTCAGTGGTAGAGCGCTTGCCTAGCATATGTGAGGCACTGGTTTTGATCCTCACCACCACATAAAAATAAATAAATAAAATAAATATATTGTGCCCTTCTACAACTAAAAAAAAATGAAAGAAAAACTAAGCAGAGATTAAAGAAAAAGAAAAATGTGGTTCATGAGTTCAGTTCCACAAAAAACAGGAGATGTATTTTTAATAAATTCTGGCTTTGTTAGAAGTAATATATTTAAACTTAAGCAGCTCAAAAGGCTGAAGCAGAAGGCTCTCGACTTCAAAACCAGCCTCAGCAAAAGCAAGGCATGAAGCACCTCAGTAAAACCCTGTCTCTATAATACAAAATAGGGCTGGAGATATGGCTCAGTGATCACATGCAACAACAACAACAACAACAACAAAATAAGTACTGAGTTCAATCCCCAGTACCCCAAAATAAAAATTAAAAAAGTTTTTTAAAATAACATAGTAGGCTGTTAACATATGTACTTTTCAATTTTTTTCTACTATTTTAACACTGCAAGAAAAAGCAAACCATTTAAACACTAAGGAAAACAAGGAAGTGGACTGGGGTCCCCTTCCCTTAGGCTGTACATTCCTCCCTCCCTACACATTCCTCCTTCCTCCCTGCCAGATTCCCTAGAAACCACCCTGGGTCACTATATTAAGATGATGAGGGTCATAGCCTAAGGAAGGGTCACTGCTGCACAGGGAGCCAGGATGAAATTGTGAAGGACAGAGAGGGGCTGACAGCCAAGGATGCCCTCAGCTCTCAGGTCCAGGACAGGGTTTGCTCCTCATGCTTCCCACCATCCCCTCACCAGCTGCCAGAGCTGCCAGAAGCTTCTGAGCCATTTCTCTGAGGCTGCTCTGAGGAAAAGGGAATCACAGGTGTCCCTAGAGACATGACCCATGAGGGTCCCCATGCTACGCATCTCCTCAGGCTGCTCTGAGCAGAAAACCCCAGACTTCTCTAAAAATATAACCCATGAGGGTCCCCAAGCCAGGCATCTTCCCCAGGCTATTCACAGGAGAAGGGAACCCCAGGCATCCAAAGAGACATAAACCACGAGGGTCCACCCACCAGGCATCTCCCTCAGGCCGCTCTGAGGAGAAGAAAAGCCAGGGCCTACATAGAGTTGTTACCCACAAGGCTCCCCACATCTGGCTTCTCCCTCAGGCCAATGTGAGGAGAAGAAAGCCCCGGGCATCCCTAAGACATGACTCACAAAAGTCCCTAAGCCAAGAGTCCGCGCTGAGGCTGCTCTGAGGAGAAGGGAGTTCCCTGAGCCCCTGGAGGCATGACCCATGAGAGTCCCCAACCTGGGTGTCTCTCTCAATCTGCTCTGAGAAGGGAGCTCTGCCCCTCCCTGTGGAGTGACCCAACACTCCCAGGACTGGGGCTCTCCCGGTTGGTCCTGAGAGGGAAGTCAGCTCCTCATTCTCAAGGAGGCAGAATTAAAGTTGGCGGCAAGGCCCTGCCCCTTATTGACCACGCCCCTTTGGCCATGCGCTGTGCAGGAGCTCCTCCCAGCTCAGAGGCGGGGCCTGTCCTGGCTCCCTGGCGAATGTCAGCACCTTCTTCCACCCTCAGCAGTTAATGAATAAAATATGTTCCCACTGCTCTAACTAGGTCTGGCTGTGGCACCTGAGGAGTCAAATCTCAGAAGAGGAGAAATGGAGTCCAGGAGACCCCCTCCCTGCACTCCACCAGGCCAAGTGCTGCAGCAGCCTGAGACAGGCAGGCAGGGGCACAGAGGGAGGCAGCTACAGGGAGTCTAGACCCTCAGCCCAAGGGCAGAGGCCAGAAACAGACCACCTCAGAGGCTTCTGGGACGTGTAGTCTTTGAGACAGAGTGACTTAGCCAGGGACTGCTCCAATTCAGAATCAGGGGTTTTAAGAAAATCTGTTAATTCCCAGCCCAGGGTGACCACTGTAGGAGGGTAGAAGAACCTGAGCTCAGACCAAATTCCCAGTAGTCTCTGAGAGCATTCTAGGTCATTCAGTCTGTCCTGCCTGTCCAGCTCTCACTATAGATGCCTCTGGGAGCTGCAGGCTACACAGATTCAGGGTTCTCAGGGATTCTAGACAGTGTAGTCTGGTGCTCTGCCCACACCGTCTCTGCCCTTCAGGACCATGGAAGCTGTGTGCCATGTGCTGGCCCAGGTACCCTTGAGGACCCTGGCAGAGGACTCTGGTGTTCTACCCCTGCAGCCCTCACCCCAGAAGCCAGAGGCTACAAGTAGCATGCACATTTACCCTCATACCCCCAGGATTCTGGGTAGTGCAGTCTTGAATTCTACAATGCAGCCAATCTGCAGAGGTCTCTGTGAGCTGCAGGCTACTCAGGAACCCCTAGTGATTCTGAACAGTGTAGTCTGGCATTCTGACCATTCAGCCCTCACTCCAGAAGCCTATGGGGGCTTCAAGTAGCACATTCAACCTCATACCCACACCCGGGATTCTGGGTAGTGAAATCCAGTCTTCTACAATGCAGCCCCCACTGCAGAGGTCTCTAGAAATTGCAGGCTACACAGTCACTCAGGCATCCCTAGGGATTCTAGACAGTGTATTCTGGTGTTCTGTCCATGCAGCATCACTACAGTGGATTCTGGGAGCTGCAAGCCCCCAAGGATCATGGGTATTATAGCCTGGGGCTATGTTCAACTGTACAGTGACTACCTAGACCTCGGAGCCTCCAGGAATTCTGAGTATTGTAATCAGTTCTACTCAGTCAGCTCTGACCGCAGAGGTCACTGAGAGCTGTGGGCCATGATTATTCTGGGTAGTGCAATCCATCCTACCTAAGTGGACTTCACCCACATCACGGCTCTGGGATCTTTGTAGCACAAGCCTACCTAGACACCCCTGAGGAGTCTGTGTAGTGCAATACAAAGTTTGCCCAGGCGGTACTCAAAAGGAAGGTGTCTGGGAGTTGCAGGCCCCCAGGGATTCTGGGTAGTATAGTATTGCCCTCTACCTCCATAGCCCTCACTGTGGAAGCCTCTGAGAGTTCCAGGCCACATGGACATGGGGCACCTCCAAGAATTCTAGGTAGTATAGTTCAGCTCCCTACCCTGAAGCCCTCACTATTGCAGATCCTGGGAACTGCAGTTCCCCCTGAGGACTCTGGATAAGGTAGTCCAGTGTTTTGCCTACATGCCCTTACTGCAAGGGCCATGAGAACTGAAGGCCACATGCTTGTCTTGGTACTGAAGACCTCACTGTGGAAGCCTTCTGGAATTGCAGACAGCACACTCACCAGTGTGTCCCCAGGAATTGTAGGTAGTGTAGTCTGACCTGCATAATGCACAGCTCTCACTTGGGAGGCCTCAGGGAGTTGCAGGCTGCATACTAACGGGCAACACACCCCACCAAGGATTCTGGATACTGTAGTTAAGCTCTCAGTCCAACAGTCCTCACAACGGAGGATCCTGAGAGCTACTGGCACCGAGATTTGTGGGTAATTTAGTCCTGTGTTTTTCCTACTCACTGCAGAAAATTCTGAAACTAAAGTTCCCCCTTAGGATTGTGGGTAACGCAGTTCAGTGGTTTGCCCCTCACCACAGAGAATTCTGGAAGCTGCAGTCCCTGAGGGTTCTAATAATGCAGTCTAGTGTTTGGCCTGCACAGTCCTGCTGAGGATCACAGGAGCTGAAGACCCCATGCTTTCCCTGGGACCCTGGAGATTCTAGGATGTAAGCTCTACCAACAAAACCATCACCACCAAATCCTCTGGGACTTACAGGGTTACAGGGTATGTAGGCATCCCCAGATATTCTGAGCATTGAAGTTTGGTATTCTGCCTTTACAATTCTCACCCCCAGAGGCTCCTGGGTAGAGAAGGCACCCAAAAGTAATTGGCAGCATAGTTTGATTTTTTGTCAGTACAGCCCTCTCTGCAGAGGTCTCTGCAAGCTGCAGGTCCCTAAGAATTATGGGTAGCACAGTCTGTCATTTGACCCATGCTGCCCTCCCTGCAGAAGGCTCTGGTAACTGCAATGAGGATTCTACAGTTACCCAGGATTCTGGGTAGCGCAATCCATCATAATCTTTGCATCTCTCACCCTAGAGGCTCCTGAGAGCTTCTTGCTGCATTTTCATGAGCCCTTACCCTCAGGCCCCAGTGAGACTCCAGGCACTGGGTCCTCCCTGCACCATCTTGAGGGGGCATTTGTGTCCTCAGACACTCAAGCCACACAAAGTACATTGACATACCATGATAATGAGCAGCCAAAGCCTCAGTAAGAAATACTGTTGTAAAATAAGTTCTCCTAAAATATTACCTGAGAAAGTAAAGAACATGGCAGAACTTACTTCTCAGCCCATCAGGTAGTGCACAGGAAGCTTCTTCCTCATGTTTTCCTCACATGGACCTCAGGCATCCTGAATCCACAGTGGAGTCTCCATGGGTAGGTGCCAAGGAGAAGGAAGCTCTGGTCCTCACCATAGATATATCCACCAGGCACCCCAGGCCATGGTATCTTTCTAGGTGTGTCCCCAGGATTAAAAAAAAAAACAAAAAACACTGGTCTACACCTTAGATAGAGCCCCTAGGAGTCCCTAGATGTGGCATCTCTCAGGTGGGTCCCCAGGAGAAGGAAGTATGATTAGAGCACAGAACACAGCCCCCATAAGCAATTGATCAGAGAAAGTGGCTCCCTGCTGGCCACTGTAGACAGTGCAGGATGCTGGGTGTTCACTGTTCAGAGCTGCACCCCCTTGTGCTAGGCACAATGAAGCTCTTAAATTCATAGTTCTGACTATTCCAGGTCATGATTTTGGAAATTGAAAAGAAATAGAGCCTACCTCCTATGTCTTGATCAGAATGGATGGAGATAGCAAGCAGCAAAGTACATGGCCCATAGACAAAATTTCATTGATTTCCTATATTTCAGCCATCATGTAGGGGAAATTGTGAAATATATAAACTGGAATAAGAAAAAATTTAAAGCATTAATATTTAAAATAGAGACCCCAAATTTGAAGTATTTATATGTAAGTATTAAAGTACTATCATACTTCAGAAATTCTTGAAATGTTTAGAAAGAAATCAAATGAAATATAAATAAATACAGAGATAGTCTTTGTTCAGGTCTCAATACAATTAAGATGAAACTACCTCAAACCTGATCTGAAGATTCAGTGCATTCCAGAAATTCCCAACAAACTGTTTTTAAACCTAGACTAGACATCACTGACTTCAAAAGGACACACACTTCAAGAAGGCACACATATGGATGCCAGAACCTATCAAACTACTCTCTAGATTTTCATTTAAAATGGGAAACTGTAAAACTCTAGAAGATGTGCATGACCACATGTTTCATGATGAGGTTCTAAATACAACCCACCCCCCAAATCCATGAAAGCTATGGATGTGGCTCAGTGGTTAAGCACCCTGGGTTCAATCCCTGCTATCAAACAAACAAACAATAACAACAAGAAATCCATGAAAGAAAAACCTGATAATGTGGACTGTATTAAATTCCTCTGTAAAAAAATCATATTAAGGAAATGAAAAGACAAGTCAAACACTGGGGGAATCTTTGGAAAGTATATGTCTAAAACAAACTTGTGTAAAAAATATAGTAAGACACTCAACAATAAGACAACATAATGGGTAAAGATCTGAACAGACAATGCACAAGAAAGATACAAGATGGTAAAGAAGCATAGAAATGATTCTTAGTATCACCTGTCATGAGAAAAGCACAAACTAAGACCCCAAGTGCACTGCACACCTACCGAGCTGCTAAGGTCTTTAGTAAGTGTAGTATCAACCATGAGGATGATGAACAGCCACAGGCACTCTTGTGCATTGCTGGAAGAGCACACAACAGTTCAACACTATCAAAAAAAATGGGCATTTTCCCCAAAGTTAGACATGGTTTCACCACATGGTCCTAAAAATATAGACAACTGCCTCAAAAATGTATATCGAGATAACAGCACACTATTACATATAGTAGTTCTATTCACAATGCCCCAATACCTTAAGCAATCAGGATGTGCTTCAATGGGTAATAAAATAGCATAACTGCTATGAATACATGCCATGGAGGCCCTGGAGTCTCTGAGCTCCCCCAGATCTCTACTCTGGACTGCCTTTACCTTTGCACACCTCACAGAGGGAAAAGTGAATTCTGAATAGAAACACCTGTATATGCAGCTGATAAACTCAGGCTCAGTATGCAGTTGCTGCCTATGGAAAGAGATTAAAAAGTTCTGGATGTGGGTGGTAAACTCAGAAAAATTCAAGCACAACACAGGCCTGCATTTTTGCCAAAAGGAGCTTCCTGAGGAACAACAGACAAATGCTGGCAGCTGGAAGTTTGCTGGGGCCCCAGCAAACTTCCAGCTGCCAGCAGACAAACATGGAGGCTCCCCCAGTATCCCCACAGAACCACATCTAGGGGAGAACCTGGAAGTGGATGCCATTAGGGCCCCTGTGACCCACCTCTGATCCCCTTAGAGGACATTATGCTACAGCTTCATATCCCCATCCCAACTTTTAATTTCATCTCTTTCCACAGGTTGCAAATGCATCCTGATCTTGGATTCTGTTGATTAATTAGCTTGTTTAGTGTTGCAGAGAGCTGTGCCACTACCTAGTCCTGATGCACAACTTTTGAAATTCACTGTTCTGGTTATTCAACATACATTTGCATATTTTAGCTAAAATAGAGCCCATCATCCTATATTTTGATCTAAAAGGATGGCACTATGGTTTAAATATTTTCTACCCATATTTTATGTCCCCAAAGCCCTGGATCCCAGAAAGTTCAGGGCTGAACAAACCACCCCTCATATTCTCTTTCAGCTCCCCTCTTGCCATCCACACTTTGGAACAGACAAAAAATCTCTTTTAATCTCAGCAGGGAGAGTCCCTCAGGAATACTCCACTTGGTTATGGTATCTCACCTGTGCCCACTGGGCCCACCTGACCCTTTAAGGGAGAGCACAGAACAGGCTGGGAGCCACACCCATAAGACAAAGTCAGATAGGTGGAAGGGAAGCAGGGCTGGCTGTCAGTATACTGAGAGTAGACACCTTTTTCCATAGGGGCTGAGCACAGGAACTAAGGAGGGGCCTCCTGCCTCCATCCAGATGACCTCTGGACACTGCATGGGTACCCCTTCCCAGGAGGTCCTGTCCTAGTCAAGGGTCAGCTTCAGGCACTTTAGTCCATTTTCCCCAAAATGGACATGATGAAGCCGGATGATGAAGTTCCAGGGTCCTGGAAATTTCAGGACTGAACCCACTGCGTGTCCAGCATAGGAAGCAAAATGACCTGGAGGTCATCACTCAGTCCCTGTCTCTAATTGACCAGCTCATCACAGGCTACACCCTACTGGAACTCTAGACCCTCCCATTTTCAGGAAAGGCCATAGGCTGAGGCTGGGATGAGCCCAGGGCTCTGAATATTTCCTGAGAGAGCTCAGAGCTGCCACACCCTATAGCAGCCTAAGACACAGTAGTCACTCCCTCTGCCCTGACTCTGGGACAGAATTCCTGCTGGGGTCACAGGGGCCCAATGCTGCTGTGGAAGGCAGGCAGATAGCTGTTCCCCAACTTTACACACCCTGCTGAGCTCAGGGAACCTGAGAGGCCAGAAGTAGTGCCCTCCTCTTCTTCCAGGCTTGAGGAATACCTGGGGCATGCTAGGACATAGGTGAGAAGTGTGATGGCCTCCCAGAAGCTGGACTCTGAGGCTCCTTGAAGGGTGTTGACACAGTCCTGGGTCAGCTGTGGTTTGGCTCTGTGGACTCCTATCCAGGTCTATAACTGAGCATAGGGAGGAGAAAAGGGCTCAGAAAACAGATTCAGGACTCACTCCAGGGCAAGCAGAGATCCTGTCTCCAAATATGGTCACATTCTGAGCTACTGAGTTAGGACTTCAACATAAGGACTGTGAGAGCTAGGAGTCAGCCCATCATACAGATTGGGCTCATTCCTCTCCAAACATTGGGCCACTGTGAGAAGTTACATGATCCAAGCCCTGTGAAAACTGCTTAATCAATATCAACATGGTAAGGCCATTTTGGACTATGCCAATACTGTGAGGAGATTTTAATCAATACCAATCCAATAAGGCAAATTTAATCTATACCAATCCAGTAAGGCTACTTTAATCAATATCAATCTGGTAAGGCCACTTTAATCTATAATTTAATCTATAATCCTATGAAGACTTTTTTTTTTTTTGAGAGAGAGAGAGAGAGAGAATTTTAATATTTATTTTTTTTAGTTTTCGGTGGACACAACATCTTTGTTTGTATGTGGTGCTGAGGATCAAACCCGGGCCACACGCATGCCAGGCGAGTGCACTACCACTTGAGCCACATCCCCAGCCCCTATGAAGACTTTTTAATCAACACCAGTCCTATGAGGATAATCCCATTGACATGAGTCCTTTCATCAAGACAAAGTGGGGAAGACATTGCCCCTGTACGTGGTTGAACTGTTCTGCTCTAACTTCTCAGGATAATACCAACATATGTCTAATTACTATGTGACAATTAGGAATAAAATTACTTTAATAAATTAAACAAAAAAAAACCCACTTAGGATGTTAAGAAAAAGATAGACTTGGGCTGGGGTCGTGGCTCAGTGGTATAGCGTTTGCCTAGCATGCATGAGGCACTGGGTTCGATCACCAGCACCACATTAAAAAAAAAACTAAATAAACAAAATAAAGGTATTGTGTTCATCTGCATCTAAAGATCTGGGGAAAAAAGCAGACTTAAGGGGAAACAATCCTCCCCAGGATAGGAAAGAAAATCCCAGATAGCAGCAGTGGATTTGACTGCTGCCACCTTATGAAAACTGTCAGAGTGAGGACCTTATAGATAACAGAGGCCTCATTACATGAGTGTCAGAGGAATCATTGAAAATATTATTGAGTGTTACAGACCTCAATGAGTATATTCTGTAAAATACATCATTGAGTCATTACATCTTTTACATAGATGGAGCTTCACTGAGGACATTATATGAATAGCAGAAAACTCAATAAGAATTTTATATAAATGTGAAAGCCCTGACTGAGAATATTATGTATATCAGAAGTTTCAGTCCTCAATGAAGCCCTTATTATGTTTTTTAGAGACTTCAGTAGATAGTATGTCTATCACTTAGCAAGTATGAGTATTTTATGAGCTCTCCACCAGAAATGGGGGGGCAGAGGCCAAATATACATTTCTTACATCAAAACCTGTAATCTGGAACAATAATGAATTAATTGTGCACAATGGGACAATGAATTAATTAGAAAGCAGATGCTAGAAACCAGGTTTCTCATTACTAAGACTGGAAATTACAGATAAGCAAGGGGGTAAGGGGGGAAGCCTAGAAGGATCTGGGTCAAATGGATCACAGTCCATTGCCTGAAGATCAGAATAAACTCACATTTAGCTTAGTAGAAACACAGATAGTCCCACATAAAAGATTTATAATTAGGTGTGTGTTTAGATTAAAAAATACGTATAGCAAATTAAAAATACATTGAGATTCCACTTCACTCTAGTCAGAATGGCAATTATAAAGAAATTTAAGTAACAATAAATGTTGCAAGGAAATGGGGAGAAAGGTACTCTCAGACACCTTGGTGAGACTGCAAATTGGTGTAACACTATGAAAAGCAGTATGGAGTATTCCTCAGAAAACTCAGAATGGAACCACCACTTGGACCCAGTTAACCCACTCCTTGGTCTATAAACAAAGGACTTACATCATCAAGCTATGGAAACAACCTAGGTGTCCTTCAATGAATGAATGGATAAAGAAAATGTGGTATATATACACAATGGAATATTAGTTAACCATAAAGAATGATGGAATAATGGCATTTGCCAGTAAATGAATGGAACTGGAGAATATCATGCTAAGTGAAATAGCCAACCCCAAAATACCACTGAATGTTCTCTCTGATTTGTGGATGCTAACCCAAAACAAGGGAGGTTGGGGAGGGGAATAATAGAAATCCATTGGATTAGACAAAGGGAGGGAAGTGGGGATGGGAATAGAAAAGACAGTAGAATTAATTGGACATAACTTTCCTAGCCTTGTATTTGAAAATATGACCAGAGTAACTCCACATCATGTACAACCATAAGAGTGGAATCCTAAATAGAATAAATTATACTCTATATATTTATAATTTGCCAAAATGCATCCTATCATCATGTATAACTAAAAAGAATAATTAAAAAAAAAAGAACACACATATAAACTTCTTTGCATTGTCAGTTGTCAGGGTCAAGATCAGTGGGTACATTTACCTGCCAAATGAATTTTTGGGGGGAGGGAGGAGTTTCTTTTGTTTAATTCTTGTCTTTATTTATTTTAGTAATAGGGATTGAATCCAGGGGTGATTAACCATTGAGCCATATTCCCAGCATTTCTCATGTTTTATTTTGAGACAGGGTCCCACTAAGTTGCTTAGGACCTCACTGAGTTGCTGAGACTGGCTTAAACTTGTGAAGCTCTTGCCTCAGCTGCTGGGATTACAGGCATGTGCCACCACAACTGGCCAGATGAAAGTTTTTAATATCACTAATCAAAAGACCTAGGGCTCTTTGAAGAAGTATCTGATATTATGACTGAGACAGTAAAGACATGAGTCAGGGTAATCCTCCAACTTGCTATCAGAAGTAGGAATTTTGTACAAAATCATTAAAGTATGTTAAAAGAAAACAGGAAACAATAGAAAGAACTCCCAGTGGAAAGAAAGGTCAAAGCTATTCCCAAAGGCTTCAAGCAGGAATGAATTAAGCAACAAAGTACTATAGAGTTGGATAACAAACAAAACTTGGAGTAAATATCCAGATGCTCACATTGGTACAAATAAATGACTAAACAGATAAACAAAAGAGGTTAAATAAAAACCTCTCATGCAGAATTTCAAATAATTGAGGTGGACATTTGGCTCCCAAGGAGTTAGCCTAACTTCCCACTCCTTAAGAGGGGGCTTTGCACAGTGACTTACTCCAAAACAATATATATAACGTGGACATGCAGAAAAAACATAACTTCACAGTGAGAAACCTGGCAAACACTACATCAGTCAGATGAGCACAGTTAATATTAACATGAACAATTCACCTTGAGGATATGAAATGAAGATGAAATGAAGCACTTCATCTGTAATATGCCTTCCCCAAACCATAATCTGTCTACATAGGAGAAAAACACCAACTGAAAATCTAAAAAGTACCTGACAGGTACTCCTCAACTGTCAGGTCCTCCTCAACCATCAAGGGCATCATAGAAAGGAAGCCAGAGAAACTGTCGCCACCAAGAAAAGCCTATGGAGACAGGATGATTGGACATCAGGCGGGATCTTGGATGGGGTCCTGGAACTGAAAGAGGCAGTACTGAAAATCAAGGAAACACAGATATTAGTTAATAAGGGCATATCAGTATCTGTTCATCATGAAAAATTATGTAGGATGTTAACACATTTGAGATAGCTCACGTAAGTCATAAGAGAAAAAAACTGGGTAGAAGTTACACAGTAGATCTCTGCACTTTCTTTGCAATTTCTGCATAAACATGAAACTACTCTAAAATAAAATCTTAAGACATGGCTATATTTTTTCAAACACCTGCTCGTTTAATTACTCAGAATGCTAATTACTAATAATTGACATTCTTAACTAGTTCTGCATTTTGTTAAGAGCATTTATAACAAAAATATTTCAAACTAACATAATGTAAGATAAGTATTTCTTTTATATATTTTATGTTAAAGTAATAACATGTTTAAACTTATTTATCATTATTTATTTTGCTATTGCTAGGTTCTGGATTTTCTCTCTAAAAATTTCAAAACTTTAGAGAAAAAATATCCATTTTAGAGACACTGTTTCAAGTCATGGTTGAAATTCTTCAAAAGAGTGATGATAAAAAAAATGTTACAAAAGCATATTGATTCATTGTGAATGAATAATTCATTGAAAATAATTCTTATCTTTTGTTCATTTTTATGCATATCCTTTAACAGTAATAGCATCAAATTTGCCACTGGGAAAAATATTCAAACAAAAAAATGTAAACAGAATTTGTGACAATAACATATGATGCTTTCTAAAAAAGAAAAATTTAAAAGAATATCAAAGTCAATTACCTCCATGATGCTCTTCAGAAGTGGTAAAACTAGAGAAACATCAATGAAAGCATGGTTTATGAATGATCTTAGATATTCCTGAGTTTTATGGGGAAATTATATTTTAGAAAACGCAAAAAAATATTGGATGCCCAAACTCTTGAATGCTTTCAACTGTAGTTGTACTTCTATGTAAGTTTCTCATTGATAGAGCTAGTCATAAAGCTAATAAAAACAAAGAATCTATGGGGCTGGGATGTACCTCAGTGGTAGCATACCTTATCCATAATTCAGAAGCCCCGGGTTTGATCCCTAGCACCACAAAATTTTTTAAAAATCAGTGCCTTATTTGTGTAATCAAATAGAAAGTGAACAATTATCACTCTTAGGAAAATGTTAAGCCTGAAAAACATTTAAGACTATCAGAATCAAAAAACTCTTACAGTGGGTTGTATAATAGAAATAGCCTATTGTGAACATATGAGTCACATCATAAAGTATATTCACATTAAATATCCTGTGAGAACAAAAAAAATTTGATGACCATTTATAAGAAGCAAATGGCTATAATATAGATTAGAAAATTATTAAGAATTAGAAACATGATAATGACATAAAAATTATCTAGGCCATACTAGGCATTTGGACCTGTAATCACAGCTATTTTGGAAGTTGAAGCATGAGGATCACAAAGTTTGAAGCCAGCCTAAATACCTCAGGAACTTAGCAAAACCTGTCTCAAAATAATATTTTAAAAGGGCTGAAATTCATTGCTTGCCTAGCATGGTCAAAGTTATGAGTTTAATCCTCATCACCATAAATAAATTAAAAAGAATAACTCCAAACCAAGCATATAATATGAGACAACTAGGGCATTTATAGAAAAGGGTGGAAGCCATTATGTTGAACACCCCAAAATAATTCTACTATATTTAATTATTGTTCAGCTAATGATATTAACATGTATAATCTCCACTTCTATTACTTCAAATTAATCCATTAAAATATGGTAAAAAGTGTATGTACATTTTTAATGATTTCAAAATATGAGTTATACTCAACTCTACTCTAAACACTACCTTTGAAGCACATAGAGGCACCAACATTTATATAAAATGAAATCAGTCCATTTCTCACACAAAGTAATATTTAGTAAGTACTAATATATACACACATAATTTCAAAAAAATTAAAATTGATAAAATCAAAAGGTCACTGGAATGCTTTTATGATATTTTGAATATAGGAGAAACACTTAATTGAGGTCTCCAAGAAGAACTTCTGACAATATATAAAGCATGCTTATTAGAAGGTCAATTCCCTTGCTTGCAAGGAGTAAGAGAAACTAACTACTTGTTGAATGTAAAACTTTAATAAGATATACGAATATGCTTTCTAAATTTGAAAAGGTAGAAAATGTCTGCTTTTGCAAAATCTATTTTTGGTAAATGTATCTGTTTTTTTTTTAAAGAACCTACTGAATTTTCTCTTATATACAGTAATTATTTCAGTTGTTTTAAGCATCATGTAATATCAATAGTTGGCATTTTAAAACATTACCATCCTCTTTCTATCTATAAAATTGATTAGCAAATTTTGCTTAGAATAATTTCAACCCAATTTGGAAAAGATCTGTGTGTGCGTATGTGTGTGTGTGTGTGTGTGTGTGTGTGTGTGTAAAAATACATAATATTTTAAACAATTCCCCTGACATTCGGGTCCTGTCAAAGACATACTGTCTGTGTGTGGTGCTGGAATGGAACCCAGGGACTCTGGCTCTGCCACCAAGCTACACACACAGCCCCAAAGACCTTAATAAGCAGAAGATAATTAAAATTTTTTGAGATAATGAGAATTGTCAAACAAGATAATTCAATCTAAACTAAAAAGTATATTTAAAAATATTGCTGATGAAAATAGCAGAAGTTAGAGGAGAAATTAAAAATCAAACTGCAGAAACCTACTGCATAAAATTGGAAACCTAAAGGGAATGGGTAATATCCTAGTAAAAATACACATTAACAAAAGATTAAAATAACAAAACTATGAATGATCAATCAGCTTAAAAAGTTTGAAATGATGCTTATAGATCTCCCATTGGGGAAAAAAACAGGAACACAGGGATTCACAGTTGAGTGTTAACTGACTTTTAACAATTCTGGATTTACTTAAAATGTTCACAATCTAGGAGGAAAGAGTGAAATTATTACTTAAAATAAATTCTTCAATTAATTTAAATTAATTTTCTCAATTATTTTAAATGAATTTCTTCAATTAACTTTTTGGTATAATACCAAGGCCTTATCTAGTCAAGATATTTCAGCAGATATAGAATGTCAGCACAGTATTTAGCATACCATTACAAACACACTGCCAATTAAACTGATCTACTCAATCAAAGACAAAATGTATTCTCAATCAAAATGTTGATTAATTTAGTTCCATAAAATCCATGAACTATTTTTTCACAAATTCTGGCTTTATTAGAAATAGCATATTTAAACTTAAAATACGTCGTGGGTTTCATACATCTACTTTTCAATTTTTAAATATTTTTCCTGCTTTAACACAGTAAGAATTGGCAATTAAAACAATTCCTCCTCCCTCTGTGCCAGGGTTACCCAGAAATCACCCAACTAGCTGTGTTATGATGACAGGTAATCAGAGCCTCATGAAGGGATGTTTTCCGAAAGCAAGCCTGCTGAAATAATGACGAAGAGCAAGGCTCCTTCCTCAGCTCTCAAATGGGGGCAAGGAGTAAATCTGCTTTCTCTTCACTCTTTCCACCTTTTCCTCACCTGCTGCCTATTTATCCAGAAGTTTCTGGAAGATCTCGCTGAGGTTGCTCTGGGCATGCCTATAGACTTGACTCACAGTATCCCCAAGCCAGGATCTCTCTAAAGCTAGTCTGAGAAGAGAGCTCTAGGCGTCCCTGTAGATATGACTCAGAGTGTCCCCAAGCAAGGCATTGCTCTGAGGTTGCTCTGAGGAGAAGGGACCTCTGGATGACCCTACACACATGACCTACACTATCTCCAAGTCAGGCATCTGCCTGAGGATGGTCTAAAAAGAATGGAGCTCTAGGTGTCCCTATAGCCTTGACCCACAGCTGGTCTTAGAATGGAGTTATAGATTTGATCTACAGTGTCCCCAAGCTGTGTATCTCTCTGAGGCTAGTCTAAAGAGAAGGGACCCTAGACATCCCTGTAGACACAACACAAAGTGTCCCCAAGCTGGTAGTATTCCTCGGTCTGCTCTAAGAGGAAGCTCCATGTCCCTCTACACTTAAACCACATTGTCCCCAAGCTGGGAGTAGGCCTGAATCAGCTGAGAAGAAGGCAACTCCCTGTCTCAATACATATGACCCACGAGGGTACCCAAGCTAGGAGTGTCTCCTCAGATCAAAGGCACACAGGGGACCTAGTGTCCCGAGCTGGGAGTACCTACTCAGACTCCAGGGTTATGGAGCTGGGAGTACCTTCTCAGACCCGAGGCACATGAAAGACCCAGGCTCCCTGAATAGGAAGTATGTCCTTAAACACAAGGCATATATGGCACCCAGGGTCCCCCAGATGGGAGTACCTCCTAAACCAAGGCATGCAAAGGATCCAGAGTCCCCGAGCTGGGAGAACATCCTCAGACCCGAGGCACACGAAGGACCCATGGTCCCTGAGCTGGGAGTATCTTCTCAGACCCAAGGCACATGGATGACCCAGGGACCCCAAGCTGGGAGGACCTCCTCAGACCCGAGGCACATGGAGGACCCAGGGTCCCCAAGCTGGGAGTATCTCCCCAGACCTGAGGCACACAGAAGACCCAGGGTCCCCAAGCTGTGAGGACATCCTCAGACCCGAGGCACAAAAAGGACCCAGGGTCCCCAAGCTGGGAGGACCTCCTCAGACCCCAGGCACACGAAGGACCCAGGGTCCCTGAGCTGGGAGGACCTCCTCAGACCCCAGGCACACGAAGGACCCAGGGACCCCAAGCTGGGAGGACATCCTCAGACCCCAGGCACAAAAAGGACCCAGGGTCCCCAAGCTGGGAGGACCTCCTCAGACCCCAGGCACACGGAGGACCCAGGGACCCCAAGCTGGGAGGACATCCTCAGACCCGAGGCACAAAAAGGACCCAGGGTCCCCAAGCTGGGAGGACCTCCTCAGACCCCAGGCACACGAAGGACCCAGGGTCCCTGAGCTGGGAGGACCTCCTCAGACCCCAGGCACACGAAGGACCCAGGGACCCCAAGCTGGGAGGACATCCTCAGACCCCAGGCACAAAAAGGACCCAGGGTCCCCAAGCTGGGAGGACCTCCTCAGACCCCAGGCACACGGAGGACCCAGGGACCCCAAGCTGGGAGGACATCCTCAGACCCCAGGCACACGGAGGACCCAGCGTCCCTGAGTTGCGAGTATCTCCTCAGACCTGAGTCACATGGAGGACCCAGGGTCCCCGAGCTGGGAGGACCTCCTCAGACCCGAGACGCACAGAGGACCCAGGGACCCCAAGCTGGGAGGACATCCTCAGACCCCAGGCACAAAAAGGACCCAGGGTCCCCAAGCTGGGAGGACCTCCTCAGACCCCAGGCACACGGAGGACCCAGGGACCCCAAGCTGGGAGGACATCCTCAGACCCGAGGCACAAAAAGGACCCAGGGTCCCCAAGCTGGGAGGACCTCCTCAGACCCCAGGCACACGGAGGACCCAGGGACCCCAAGCTGGGAGGACATCCTCAGACCCCAGGCACAAAAAGGACCCAGGGTCCCCAAGCTGGGAGGACCTCCTCAGACCCCAGGCACACGGAGGACCCAGGGACCCCAAGCTGGGAGGACATCCTCAGACCCCAGGCACAAAAAGGACCCAGGGTCCCCAAGCTGGGAGGACCTCCTCAGACCCGAGACGCACAGAGGACCCAGGGTCCCCGAGCTGGGAGGACCTCCTCAGAGCTGAAGGGGGTCTGAGTAGGAGCTCCGTCTCCCCACACACATGACCCACAGTACCCTCAAACTTCACATCTCCCGGAGGCTGGTCTGAAGAGAATGGAGCTCTGCCGGTCCCTGGTGGTTGACGCATCAAGCTCATGATTGTTCCTGAGGCAAAAGCTCTAGCTCTCACCCTGAAGAAGGCGGGACAAAGATGGAACTGGGAGCCACCGCCCCCTGTTTTCCCCAACCCGGGCAGGATTCTGCTCATGCGCAGAGGTACCACTCCCTGATGGCCACGCCCAATGCAGGCCTCTGCTCTTTGCAGAGGCACCACACCCTGATGGCCCTGGCCAGTGCAAGCCTCTGCTCATGCGCAGAGGCAGCGCGGTGCCTGGTCTTCTGGGCGAATCCGTCAGCGCCTCTTTGTAACCACAGCTGTGACTGAATAGGATCTGTTCCCACTTCTCTAACTAAGTCTGGCTGTGTTTATTTGTGGCATCACCAGAAGTGGAATCTCAGGAGAGGAGAAAAGGGAAGCCAAGAGATGACCTCTCTGAGAACCCAGCCCCTGTACTCAACCAGGCCATGCACTGCTGTAGCCAGGGGCCAGGCAGGCAGAGGTGCAGACATGAGCACCTGCAGGGAGCCCTGGACACTTCAATCTTGTGCCCAAGGGCAGAAGGCCCAAAACAGGTCAACACAGAGGCCTCTGCGAAGTGCAGTCTTTGAGAGGAAGTGACTGAGTGATGTAGCCAAGGACTGCTGAATTTTAGGATCATGGGTTTTAAGAAAAGCACTTAAATCCCAGCTCATGTTGACTGCTTTCAAGGTTGGGAGACCCTGAGCTCACACCAAGCCCCCAGCAGCCTCTGGGAACTGCAGGGTGCATCCCCTTGCCCTAGGGCATTCTAGATAATTCAGTCTGTCTTTCTTTCCCAGCTCTCACCATGAATGCCTCTGGGAGGTGCACAGTTATTCCCAGAGATTCTGGACAGTCTAATTTGGTGTTCTGCCCACACAGCCCTCACCATCAGGACCATCAGAGCTGTGTGCTACTTGCTATCCCAAGTGCCCTGGAGGACTCTGGCAGTGGAGACTGGTGTTCTGCCTATGTGGCCCTCACTCCAGAAGACTATGAGAACTGCAAGTAGCAGATTCACCCTCATACCCCATGCAGCCTTCACTGCAGAGGCATCTGGGGGCTTCAGGACCCCCAGGATCATGAACATTGTATCCTGGTGCTAGGTTGGTGCAGTACACACTATAGTTGCTCCTCAGAGCTCTGAGGCCCCAGGAATTCTGGGTATTGTAGTCCAGTTTGCTCAAGCATTCCTGACCTCAGAGGTCTAGAGCTGCAGGCTATTGAGTACTCTGGGCAGTGCAGTCCATCCTACCTAAGTGGGCCTCACCATCAAGGCTCCCAGTATCAGCACACCACAAGCCTGCCTGGACACCCCTGAGGAGTCTGGGTGGTGCAATACAAATCTTGCTCATGCAGTCCTCAAGAGGTAGATGTCTGGGAGCTGCAGGCCCTGGGGGATTCTGCCTTCAGCCTTCACAGCTCTCAATGTGTAGACCTCCGAGTGGCAGGCCACACAGGCACCTGGACATCTCCAAGAATTCTGTGTAGTGTAGTTCAGTTCTCTACCCTGCAGCCCTCACCACATAGTATTTGGGGGGCTACAGTTTCCTGAGGATTCTGGGTAATGTAAGTCAGTGTTTTGCCTGCATGCCTCCTGTGAGGGCCAGGATAAATGCAGGCCACATGCTTGCCTTGGTAATGCAGACCTCACTGTGGAGGGTTCTTGGACTGTAGGCTTCACAGTCATCAGGGTATCCCCTGGTGAATTATGGAATAGTGTAATCTAAACTTTAGCATGAACAGCCTTTGCTGTGGAGGCCTCTAGGAGTTGCAGGCCACATTCTCACCCAGGCAACATGTCCCCTAAATGATTCTGGGTAGTATAGTTAAGTTCTGTTTCCTACAATTCTCATCACAGAGGATCCTGGGAGCTGCTGGAACTAAGATTTGTGGGTAACATAGTCCTGTGTTTTGCCCATTCACCACAGAGGGTTCTGGGAGCTTTAGCCCCTGAGGATTGTAGGTAATGTAGGCTAATGATTTGATGGCCACAGAGGATCCTAGAAGGTGCAGCCCATGTGGATTCTGGATAATGTAGTCTAGTGTTTTCCTGCATAGCCCTACTGGGAGGACCACAAGAACTGCAGACCCATGTTTTCCCTGGTACCCTGGAGATTCTAGGTACTATAGCTCTCATCACAGAAACCTCTGTGAGTTATAGGCAGTGAAGACATACCCTGCATTGAGCCTGGTGTTCTGCCTTTGCAGCTCTCAACTCATAGGCTCCTGGGAACAGCAGGCACCCAAGGGATATGAGAAGTACAGTTTGTCATTCTGCCCACACAGACCTCACTGCAGAGGTCTCTGCAAGCTGCAGGTCCCTTAAGGCTCAGTCATTTGGTCCATGCTGCCCTCTATGCAGAGGGCTCTAGGAACTGCAGGTCCTGAAGGATTCTGGGTAGCACAGGCCATAATAATCTTTGCAGCTCTTGCTCCAGAGCCTCCTGGGAGCTGCTGGCCACATTCTCACTAGCCACTCCTGAGAGCTCTGGGGTAGTAACCAATAAGTGTTCTCTTTTCTACATTGTATCTGAAATAAAAGGGTCACACTGCCATTTAAAAACCTGGATTTTATCTGTTTTAACTATGTCTATTTCTGATTATTAACACTGTTTCCTAAATGTTTAAGAGATCTAAAGCTATCCTTTCACTTTTGCTAGTCCTGCTAACATATGCAGACCTTTGATTATAATTATTTTACACTATGGGTTCTAAATTTTACTTTAAAAGTTAAACTTAGTTAATTGTGACATTAACCATTACTAGCTTTTTCATATTTTGGATATATTCATGTTCTTACAGTATACAAGTCCTTTAAAATGTAAGGCTTGTGAGCCCTTTACCAAGATGATGTTTTCTAAACTAAAACTGTCTGTAGCAATAGTCTCTTTCAGGTTTATATAGAAACAACAAATTTGATTGGCATTTATTTATGTTATTTAATGTTTTATAACTGGATAAGGGTAACCTGTTATCAATAAGTTATATATAAAATTTTGTGTTACTCTTTATACTGGGATAGGAATTTAAATGTATTTTTTGGAAAGTAATAAGCAGAGCCTGGTTTGTTTAAAGGCTGATAATGTGAAATATGTATTTTGCCACTTTTTCCACAAAAAGGAAGTTAAGAGCTCTCTTAGCCTTTCTGTTTTATTCATGTTTCAGATGTAATGTTGTTTGTTTGTTTGTTTTAATTATAAATAAAAGAGGTTTATTTTGGCTCAAGGTTCTGGTCCAAGATTGAAGGGCTGAATCTAGTGATGGCCTTCTTGCTGGCAGAATATCGAGGTGGCTCAGGAAATCACATAAGAGGGAAGGGACTGGGATTCTCAAGATAGCTGGTTTCTATAGCAACCTCATTGTCCAGTTAACCCGTATGTCCATTAATCTGTTCATGGTGTGAATGGACCAACTTTTCTCAAGTTAACCCATAAACCTATTAATCTGCTAATGTCACGGGACAAAGCTCTGATTGCTTTATGACCTCTTAAAGGTCCAATTTCTTTTTCTTTCTTGTTTTTTTTTTTAACTGGGGATTTTACCCAGGGGTATTTTCCACAGAGCTACATCCCCAGTCCTTTTTAATTTTTTATTTTGAGACAAGATCTTGCTATATTGATGAAGTTGGCTTAAACTTTGTATCTTCTCCCTCAGCCTTCAGAGTCTGAAGGATTCTGGGCAGCACAAGCCATCATAACCTTTGCAGCTCTAGGACTTCAGGTGTGTCCACCTTGCCTTGTGGTTCCACCTTATTTATTTATTTATTTATTTAGTTCAAATTAGTTATATATGGCATATTGACATATTATACACAAATGGAGCACAACTTCTCATTCCTCTGGCTGTACATGGTGCAGAGTCACTCCAGTTGTATAAATACATGTACATAGGGTAATAATGTCTGTCTCATTCCCACAGCCTTAATCCTCCCCTCACAGCCCTCTACACAAACCAAAGTTCCCATCCTTCCCTACCTCCCCACCCCACTATGGATCCATATCTGCTTATCAGAGAAAACATTCAGCTTTTGTTTTTTGGGGATTGGCTCATTTCACTTATCATGATATTCTCTAGTTCCACCCCTTTACCTGCAAATGCCATAATTTCTTTCTTCTTTATGGCTGAGTAATATTCCATTGTGTATATGTACCACATTTTCTTTATCCATTCATCTGTTGAAGGGTATCTAGGTTGGTTCAATCAATTAGCTATTGTAAATTGATCTTCTATAAACACTGATGTGGCTGCATCACTATAGTATGATGATTTTAAGTCCTTAAGGTATAAAATGAGGAGTGGGATAGCTGGATCAAATGGTGGTTCCATTCTGAGTTTTCTGAGGAATCTCCATACTGTTTTCCATAGTGGTTGCACCAATTTGCAGTGCCAACAACTATGTATGAGAGTACCTTTTTCCCCACATCTCTGCCAACACTTATTATTGCTTGTATTCTTGATAATTGCCATCTGACTGAGATGAAATCTTAGCATAGTTTTGATTTGCAACTCTCTAATTGCTAGCAATGATAATTTTTTTTCATTTGTTTGTTGATTGATTGTATTTCTTTTTCTGTAAAGTGTCTGTTCAGTACCTTAGCCCATTTATTGATTGGATTATTTGTTTTTAGGGTGTTAAGTTTTTTTGTGTTCTTTATATATCCTGGAGATTAGTGCTTTATCTGAGATACATGTGGTAAAGACTTTCTCCCATTCTGTAGGCTCTCTCATTATGTTATTGATTGTTTCCTTTGCTGAGGAGAAGTGTTTTAGTTTAAATCCATGCCATTTATTGATTCTTGATTTTACTGCTTATGCTTTAGGGGTCTTGTTTTCAAAAGTCAGGTCCTAAGCCACCATGATGAAGACTTGGGCCTACTTTTACTTATATTAGGTGAAAGATCTCTGTTCTAGTGTGTAAGTCTATGATCCACTTTGAGTTGATTTTTATGCAGGGTGAAAGATAGAGGTTTAATTTCATTTTGCTACATATGGATTTCTGGTTTTCCCAGGGCCATTAGTTGAAGAGGCTATCTTTTCTCCAATCTATGTTTTGGGCACCTTGGTCTAGTATGAAATAACCATATTTATGTGGATTTGTCTCTGTGTCTTCTATTTTGTACCATTGGTCTACATGTTTATTTTGGTACCAATATCATG